CTACCTGCTTCAAACGAAAAATGTGAAACATGTGAATGCCAATCTGACGGAAAGAACGGATAGAAAGCTCTTAAAGCTTAGGTCAAAGCATTGCAACAATATCCCGTTCTTTGGATCTTTGGATGCCACAATGCAACCCAGACTCTCAAGTCTTTCAAGCCTGCATATTTCGCCACGTCTCGTTCTCATGGCATGGCGTTTCTGCTACAAGCCTGCCGCTCCTATTGCAGGCAGCTGACATTTTCAAACATGACACCACAGAAGACTTGACAGAAGACTTGAAATACTTGACAAGAATAATGACAAGGGTGGATCTGTCATGATCTGTTCATGATCTGTCATGGTTTGTGGATGTTTGTGGTAAAATTGTGGAGTGCCGAAGGTCAGCGCCTTCACCGACGGACGGAGAGGTCGGAACCTCGTGGATGACCGAGTCAACCGAGTCAACCGTGGGAGCTTTCGACTCGAAGGACTCGAAGGACTCGAAGGACTTGCCTGGAGTTACGGCTGTTCCCACAGACACACCGCAGTTCCTACAGGCCATTGGGTTCAGGTGTTCGTTTTTTTTTGGATTTGTTTATCAAGTTGCTACCTTGGCTTGCAGACACGGGAAGATCCTGAGTCCTCTGAGCTCTTGTGAAGTTCTTAGTTCTTAGAATTGCTCATGATGTCATGCCCTTAAGCTCTTGGAGTTGCTTTTTGCGTGTTGATCAAGAGCAATTTTCACTTCGATTCTCTCATTGCTTATATAAACAGTTGCTGGAGTGTCCTAGGTTTGGCACGGAGGTTCGAATATGTCCAGTGAGCGGCCTGTCAACGCTACAGGTTGGCAATGTATGTGAAGTTGTTTTTTGTGTTTCTTGCATGTAATGTCAGAGTGTCTATGTGCATGAAACAGGTGCATATTCACAGTGCCCACTGGACCCACATGGGCCCGATCCTGATCAGGGTGCTTGTCCATTCGCCAAGCCTAAAGCCAAGGCTGTTGCTGATGCCAGCTGATCTCAGCTGTGTTTAATTGCTCTGACTGCGATAGGCCAAAGATGGCGGGAAGAAGCAAAAGGCGTGGGAATTGACACATCCAAACAGCCAATGACTTAAAATCTCTAGGACCCCATGATGACCACTTTTCTGTTTACCGTACTTTGAAGTACCTGCCAGAATGTAAAACTCTATATAAATGCAGGAGATGCGTTTGAATTGCTCGTATTGAACTACATACGTAGAGGTTTGCATCCACTTGTACTCTGTTGAGATACAGGCTAGCATCAAGCTGGACTTCAAGTGGAAGCAGGCAGACTTTTCGATGTCTGTGTTTGGACATCGCTGACATGTTAGCAGTTGTGGCCAAGGACGAAAGCACGGTTGTCATTAAAGTTTGTGAATCACTCAGGAGAGACTGACACAGAGAGACTGACAGCGCCAATTCCCTGCCAAGCAAGTGTTGGTGAAAAGTGTTGTGAGTTTGGAATAGGCTAAAACAGGGGTTAACATATAATTTCGTTTATGATTTCATTACGATTTCATTATTATTTTTTAAATAATGATTGTTTTAGGGGCCAGATTTTGTTTATGTTTTTTTTCTTAAAATGTTTTTTTTTTAAATTTCATTTCATTTTTTCATGATTTGTTTAATGTTTTCTTTATCATTTTTACTTTTTTTTTGGTATTTATTGTGGCTTTTTTTTGGGTTTGGTTTGTAAAATGTTTGTAAATATTATATAAAATTCATATAAAATTTGTGAACAAATGCAAAACCATTCCAAAAAGTCATAAACAAAGCATGAATTTTACATAAACAAATATGAAGCTTTTATGTTTTTTTTTTCAAAAAGTTGTTTGTTCATAAAAAAAATAAAAACACACATTTTTATGTAACATTTATGTTTTTTGTTTTTAATATATATACATATATATATTTAAAGTTTTTTTTTTAAAAATATTGTTGTTTCCCCACCTGCCAGGTGAGGGTTGTTAGATTTTATCAGAGCGCATGCCCGCCACTTCCTCCTCCTCCTCCGCCTCCTCCTTCTCCTCCTCCTCCTCGACTAGCTGTCCTCCTCGCCCTCCTCCTCTTCCACCTCCACTTCCGCCTTGCCAACCTTGCCAACTCGTCGCCAAGCTCTTCGCCAACTTCCCAGCTCAGTGCGCACTGCTGGACGTCAACCTACGAGCTGCCCAGCTCAGTGTGCACCGCTGGACCTCAACCTGCGAGCTGCCCAGCTCAGTGTGCACCGCTGGACCTCAACCGGGGACCTGCCCAGCTCAGTGTGCATCGCTGGACCTCACCTCAACCTGGGACCTTGCCAGCTCAGTGTGCACCGCTGGACCTCAACGGCCAGATAGAATGCCAGAAGATATGCCAGATAGAATGTCAGATAGAATGCCAGAAGATATGCCAGATAGAATGCCAGAAGATATGCCAGATAGAATGCCAGAAGATATGCCAGATAGAATGCCAGAATATATGCCAGATAAACTGCCAGAAGATATGCCAGAAGATATGCCAGAAGGTATGCCAGAAGTGCCAGAATGTTTGCCAGATAGAATGCCAGAAGATTTGCCAGATAAAATGCCAGATAGAATGTCAGAAGATATGCCAGAAGATATGCCAAATAGAGTGCCAGAAGATGTGCCAGAACAGATTGCAGAAGATATGCCAGATAGAATGCCAGAAGATATGCCAGATAGAATGCCAGAAGATATGCCAGATAAAATGCCAGAAGGTATGTCAGATAGAATGCCAGAAGATTTGCCAGTAACAAAATGTATAAATGTGATGGTGGCTCTGTGTACTGCGGCTGCCACACGGCAGCCAGCCGCGGCCCAAGCGGCGACCACGCGCGCAGCAGCTCCGCCAGGAGGCTCTGTGTATTGCGCTTGCCACACGAAAGCCGCGGCCCAGCGGCGCCCACTGTGATGAGTTGTGGTGTGATGAGTGAGATGTGATGAGCAAGATGTGATGAGAGATGTGATAAGCGAGGTGTGAGAAGTGGAGCTGTGATGAGTTGTGGTGTGATGAGTGAGATGTGATGAGCGATGTGATAAGTGAGGTGATAAGTGAGATGTGATGAGAGATGTGATAAGTAGTGAGGTGTGAGAAGTGGAGCTGTGACGAGTTGTGGTGTGATGAGAGGTGTGCGAAGTGAGGTGTGAGAAGTGGAGCTGTGATGAGTTGTGGTGTGATGAGAGGTGTGAGAAGTGAGGTGTGAGAAGTGGAGCTGTGATGAGTTGTGGTGTGATGAGTGAGATGTGAGAAGTGAGGTGTGATTTGTGTACTGCGCCTGCCGTAACCTACCTTATAAGTGGTGCTAAGTTACCTTATAAGTGGTGCTAAGATGAGTTGTGGTGTGATGAGTGCTGTGTAAGGTGGCTGTGATGAATTGTGGTGTGTGAAGTGGTGTGAAGTACGTTGTTGTGTGATGAGTGAGGTGTGAGAAGTGGCGCAGTGAAGTGAGGCAGTGATGAGTGTTGTGTGATGAGGTGGGGACAGGGCGGGCGCGGGCGGACGCGGACGCGGAGGCGGCAGCGGCGCGGCGGGATGCAAGCGAAAAACAAGAACCCCACACAGTGATGTGGGGAGAAACATAAACAAAACGTAAAAGAAGCTATTCCTTGAATTTGGCTTTTGGCCTAAGTTTTATCTCACAAGAAAAGTGAAGATTGTTCTTGTCAGATGCAGTTAGATATGTTAGGTGACAGTAGATACACTTGTCACTTGTTTGCAACCTGTTCAGGTGCACATCATGGAGATGCATTCGCTGCATTGGAACTCCCGGACAGTGCGTCGCAAGAGGCGTGTCTAGTCTCTGTATGTCTCTGTCAGATCCTGCCCGCAGCGCTGCGATGCCTTGAGGAGATCAAAAAGCAGTACAAAGCGCTGTCCCTGAAACACCATCCGGACCTGTCCTTACTGCCATTTACTGAACCATACTGAACCATTTCCATTTATACATCAATTTATACATCCATTTACTGCCTTTGTAGATGCCCTGTAGAATTCTTCATAGTGGCAAGATGTGGCAAGGCTTCTCTGCAGAGCCCTTTGCCTTTGCCCCGAAACTTTCGTCTGCGTGTTTCTGAGTCTGCGAAGGATAAGAACCAGGATGATGTTGACGCTGCAACTGACCGATTTCAAAGGACCCGCATATTCATGAAATGCAACTTATTTTTTCGCAAGAGATCCCGTTTCTGAATTTTTGAACTGCAGGATCAAAGATGCATACAATGCCATCAAGGTCGGACCAAGCCTTTTGTTTTCGAACAATTCGTGCGGAGCGACTGACCTGACTCAGGACACCAACGGCGAGCTGATGTTTCCTTGGGATGACCAGCCTGACCAGCAGCAGGCATGGCTCTTTGATTTTCTTATATATTTAAGGCTTACGCCTGACAGCCGGGCGCCGGCAGAGAAACGGCCTGAAGTCAGTGTAGGAAGCATGTTGCGCTCATGCATGTTGGCGATATCTTAGACCATCCCGGATTGAAGGGCTGCCCTTGGGTCCATGTTGGGCCAGGTTCGGCCCATCTTGGGCCGATCTTGGGGCCATGTTGGACCTATGTTGGCCTATGTTGGCGCTATGTTCGCCCTATGTTGGCCTATGTTAGCCCTATCTTGGCCTATGTTGGCCCTGTCTTGCAGGAGGTGATAGTAAGTGAACATCATGCGCGTGTCAACAACAACAACAGCCAGAAATGGGAAACCAGTGAAGACATGAGACACATATAAAATACCCTTGTGTAGCCTTATGTAGCTTCATGTAGCTTTGTGGCCTTATGCGGCGGAAACCTTGACAGTGATGAAGCAACATCCAGGCCACAGCAAACCCATAAGCCCGGAAATCCTACATGGCCATGCGATGAGTGTGGCCTTTGGCCACCCTTCCTTGGTGGTGAAGAGAACACGCAAAACGATGATCCTGCGAGGATGCGGTTGCCGGACAAGGCGCGCAAGGACGCCGCGCACGCGGGTCAAAGCAGCGAAGCTGCTGCGAGCATAGCGACGGCGGTGGACGCCGGAAAAGAGTCGCACCTTCACCGCGGCCCCGAAAGGAACAAGGACACAACATTCCACTGCACGTGTCCTTTTGGTGATGTTGCCATCAATAGCATTGTGCGCTCTGGCCAAGTAGATACCGCAAGCATTGCGGCAACCAATTTCGGGTCAAAGTTGGATGCGTCACGACAAAAAAAGAAGGTGTCCGGCGCCCGTTTTTGCGACGGCAACGTGGCAAGCAACGTGATGACGGGGCAACTCAACCATGGGAACGTGTGGGGCAACTGGTTCTATGTCAAGAGCGGCAAGGTCAGCGCACGACGCGACAACATGCGCACAAATGCCCGCAGTGCCGAACGGTTGTTTGGTCAGCCGCGCCTCGGGGCGAATTCGCGTGCATGCAGCACCTCACACCATCGGGACGCCCGTGCCCACGGAACAGTTGGAAGAAAAGACAGCAGCATAGGACGGTAGAGGACGGTAGGTTGCAGGCCCCATCGAGAGCGCCGAAGCGGGTTGAAAAGTCTTGCCCGGCAGCTGGCCAAGGTGCTATACTCAAGCCGGCCGGCATGGTCCTGCAACACGGCTACTGCCTGACGTCGCATCCTGACGCTAGTAGAAAACATCTCTGCAATGCCTGGCAGATGAGGCTGCTGCCTAACGTCGCTTTCTAAACCCAGTAGAAAACTTTTCTGAAGGCACCCGGCAGATGGCCAAAGTACGGTGCTGGGCGACCGGAAAGCTGCAAAAGGCGCCGGAGGACCGGGATGCTGCCAAACAATAGGTTAACGTCGCTTTCGAGCCCAGTAGAAAATTTCTTTGAAGGCCCCCAGCAGATGGCCAAAGTACGGCGCTGGGCAACCCGAAGCGTGCAAAAGGAGCTGCAAAGATGCTTACCTAAAGGCTCCAAAGGGCACGGGGACACGTTTAAAGGCAGGCTACTGCTTAACGTTGTTTTCTGAACCCAGTAGAAAACTTTTCTGAAGGCGCCCAGCAGATGGCCAAAGTACGGCGCTGGGCGGCCAGCAAGCTGCAAAAGGCGCAGGACCGGGATGCTGCCCACCAAAAGGCTGCTGGGACACGTTTAAAGGCAGGCATGCACTAGGACCGGGATGCTGCCAACCAAAAAGTTGCAAAGATGCCTACCAAAAGGCTGCAAAGGGCGGCGGGACACGTTTAACGGGAGGCTACTGCCTAACGTCGCTTTCTGAACCGTTTCTGAAGGCGCCCTGCAGATGGCCAAAGTGCGGCGCTGGACGACCGGAAGGCTGCAGACCGCGCCGGAGGACAAAAAGCTGCAAAGATGCCTGCCAAAAGGCTGCAAAGGGCGCCTGGACACGTTTAAAGGCAGGCTACTGCCTAACGTTGCTTTCTGAACCCAGTAGACAACCTCTTTGAAAGCGCCCGGCAGATAGATGGCCAAAGTACTGCGCAGGGCGGCCAGCAAGCTGCAAAAGGCACCGGAGGACCGGGATGCAGCTTACCAAAAAAGGCGCCGGAGGACCGGGATGTTGCCCACCAAAGGGCTGCAAAGAAACCTTGCTGCTCCTGGCACGCGCTCCCCTTACCGTCGGCCGGGATTGGCATATATACATATACATATATAGATATAAACTAATATATATATATAAGATTATTAGATATATATATATATAGATCTGAGAAATAAATAAATAAATTAATATATATATATATACATATATATATGTACATATCTAACATACATATATATATATATATATCGGTATATATATATATATATCTACCTACCTACCTACCTACCTATCTATCCATCCATCCATCCATCTATCCAGCCATCCATCCATCTACCTATCTATCTACCTGTCTGTCTATCTATCTATCTATCTAGCTATCTATCTAGGTATCTATCTATCTATCTACCTATCTATCTATCTACCTACCTATCTATCTATCGATCTACCTATCTATCTCTCTATATATCTATCTATCTATCTATCTACCTACCTCCCTACCTCCCTACCTACCTACCTACCTACCTACCTAATCTATCTATCTACCTACCTATCTATCTATCTATCTATCTATCTATCTATCTATCTATCCATCTATCCTTTATATATATATATGTTTTTACTTGGTTTATTGGGTTTTGTATTTGCACCATTTTGATTCGGTGTGGGTTTTGCATCATTTGCACATGTATTTGGTGGACCGTTTCATGATTTTTGTCATGTTTCTTTGAGGTGATGAACGGAGAAGAGGCGGTTGCCGTTTTCGCGGAGGCAGAACCGCGGGCAACGAAGTTTGAGTAATTATGCGTAATTATGTTGCAGAACATGTTGAAGTAAAGGAATAGTATGGAATAGTACTTCTGGATACTTCTGGTACCTGCCAGAGATGTGGGGTGACCGTGTGGAGCTTGGACAGTGACAGGTTGGAATGGAGGCCTGTCAGGAGCACCACTTCCAGGTCTACGCGACGCCTTGGTTCTGACGTTTTGAACTTGTGGACTATTGACAGACTATTGATGAATATGGACCTGGTCCCTGGTCTTCCTGCGATGTAGAGACGCCTTTTGGAAACTTGTGTTTTTTGATTGAGATATTGATGTCATTCCAAACCTAGGAATTTACACTAGTGACTTTGGTGCCAAGATGCAATGCTACATGGTCTTGTCGTAGGGGTTGCAACTCCGGCATTTGGTGAAGTCCTCCACAGAGGTCAAGGCCACCACCGTAGCCATGTCCGATGACACTGATTCTGCTAAGGGCACAATGTGGCACAAATCTGCTAAGGGCATTAAGGGCTCAGTGTCCAAATCTCCAGGTCTTGAAATTTGAGAAGGAATCGGAGGACGGACACATCACGGAATGCTGGTTGGACGCGGTGTGTGCTGGGCTTAGCTGAGCATGGTGTTGTCACACTTTGCTGGCCGTTCCTGGTGTGGTGGCTTCAGGTGCGGGTTCTCCACATTTCGTAAGTCATCTGGTGAAGGCGTCGCCGGCAAGACGAGTGTTTAATAGTGCACAAGGACTGTCAAGACTTCGACCAGCTTACTCCGCATGCTCCGGCTAGGTCTATCGCCGGGCAAAGAGCTTAGTCACCAGATTCGCTGAGACTATAAGTTTTTTCGGGTTTGCATCTATCAATGTCCAAGGACGCCTGGGAGTACCAGGAGGTCAAGTGAGCTCTCTTGTTCTGCTCATTCTCTGCTTTTCCTGAGCTTTCCAGTGATGAACTTGACCATGATTATATAATATTCTACATCTTTAAATCTTTGATTACCTTTCATTTCTATTTCCTCGTTTTGGTGGCTCCACCACCCAAACTTCAAGGCCTGCGGAACTGCTCAGCATGTCTCACTTTTTGCTGTTTGATCAACCAATATGGTAAACTGGCAAACAAGAAGACGTGCCAAAAGAGGTGCAACACCTTCAAACAGCATTCCTTGGCTGCTGAAAAACTGGGAGAGACAGATTCTTGAGCAACTGCGAACCCGTGAAGCAGTTTGCAACACTTGATTGGACGTGAATGACTTTGTTGCAGCTTTTTACTTGGAATACAACTGCATGTCATGTCACACTTTCTATTTTTCTTCCTTCCGATGGCTTTCGACATGTTACCGCAAGGCAAGTGGGTGGAAGTGAAACAAGCAACGCCAGCAGCAACGCTGGAGGACCCTCTGCCTTAGTCTTTCTGTGTAGACATACAATACATTCTATCATCGCTACATTTTGTTACACTGTATGTGCGTTTGCCAGTCTGCTTCTTCTTGGTTTGCACATGTTCTTGCTTGTGGGTGGCAAACCTGAGTCCACTAAATGCCAGAGAGTTGTTGGAGTTTGCAAAGTCAGTTTTTGCTTCCAACTTAGACAGTCAGCAGGAGGCAGCCACATTACGAAAAGGTTTCTGCCACGGGAAGACACTTATAAGTGGTGCCAGTGTAGTGACCCGCACTTTGCAGTGTTCATCCATCAGAGTTCCGGAGGAGATGGCCAGTCGGTATATGGAGGAGTGAAGGGCAGGGAAGTTCGGAGCTCTTGAATCTCTTGAAAAGTGTCTCCTCCGAGTTGTGCCATGTTGTGCCATTTTTTTCTTGTTCCCTCCGATTCTTTCTCCTTGTTTCGCTTTCAGCCCCCTTTTCACGGTTCTTCTGGTCCAGCAGAGCTTGGGGTTGAGCCTCTCTGGACTCCTTGCTTTGAGCTCCCGAGCATCAACAAGTATTTTGCAGATTTTTGCAGCACAGTTGGCACTGTCTGCCTTTCTTGACTATCAGACTACAGAGAGGATGCGCAAGCCATGAACCAGTCCAAGAGTGGGCCTTCGACTTGGAATCTTGCGATGAAACTTTCTGGAAGTTTCCCAAGAAAGCACAGTGCGTATTCCATTTTCAACATCTTTCAACTTTTTTGATCAAGAGCAAATATTGCCCAATGTTGCCCATGCAAAAAGATGTTGTGTCAAGGCCGTCGACGTGGACATCTTCCCACCATTTGGCTGGCGCGGATCTCGCAAATGAGACTTGTGGTATTTTGTGTGTATCAATGAGCTTTTGAGCTGCCCAAATGGAAGGTTCTGCGAAAAGGTCCAGAACTCGAGTCTGACTGATCATCAACATGTCATTACCTGGTCATTACCTGGTCATTTTTTTCGGAGAATTGCCAAGGCAGGCCCGGCAGGCCCGTGGTTCAGGATCGAGGCACCTGGCAGCACCATATTTTTCCATCGCAAAACCATTTTCCAATTGGTCAAGCGTTTCGTTCCTGTTTCGTTCCTGCCAGGCATGGCACAACTGCTGGAAAGAAGGCTCGGAGATGAGTTTTCCACTCTCAGCTTCTTTTGAAAACATCAACTGTCAACTGACCCCCTTTGGCAGGAAGAACCTTCTGGCTGGCAACAAATGATTCAACCTCCAGGCCTTTCACAGTTGCCAAAAGGCTGTTGATTGGTGCGGAGTTCATGTTTTCAGATGTTTTCAGGTCACTTGCTTCCAGCCTCTGGCAGCATAGACTGGCATCAATTGGTTGTGTCCGTGCCTCATCTTATGCTGAAATTGCCGCCGTCATTTTGGAGTCTCTTCGTCATAGTCCATCTTGGTACACAACTTGTGCTGATTTGATGGTGTTTGTACCTCAGAAGTGAACCTGGCCTCAGATTGTGAAATCAATCTAAGTCTAAATCTCAATCATCAAGAGATATTCCAAATATATTACTATATTGTTGCCCTTTAACCACATTATTTTCCGAAATAATTTATATAATCAAGCTGGAGACAAGCTACACCCAGATACGAAGCTTCAAAGAGTGGAGATGATATTCATCGTGAATGAACCTGCAATGGCACGACTATGAGAGCATCATATAATCATATACATCACGAACTGAGACAGCAGATCAGACATGTAAATCTACCAGGATGCAAAACAGAGTGGTGTGAATGCTATGCATACAAAGACCTTAAAATCATCAAGGAGGTGATGCAGAAGAATGCAGCTATGAATGACTTTGCTGATCCGTCAACTGCAGCGCGGTCCGAATATTCGAACAAACATGAAACCAGGAGAATGTCTAGCCCGAAGTGATCACCATCCGAGACCATCGCAAACATTCTGCGGAGAAAAGAGAGAACCAGTGTTAAAAACATTCAAAACTCGTTTGCGTCACACAACAGGGATTGCCCATCACAGCGTCCACTGCTTGAGGCCACCATCTCTTCCGACTCTGTTGGTGCTGGGCATAGTTGAGAGACCCTTCTGATTCTTGCACATCCAACCACGGACTGGTCAACATAGTATTGTTGCTGCACGTTGCTGCACGAATCATCTTGACATGTTGCCAAGACTGGAGCACTTGGAAGAGGCCTCGGCTTTTGGGATGGACAACATGGACGAACTTCCAGTGCCCTTGCTGCAAAATTTTGCTGAGGACCCTCACTTTCGAAAGATCAGCCTGCTGGATACTCAGATTGAATCACCATTGAATTGCAAGGAACTCGTTGTTTTGACGTGGAACTCACTTGCAATGAGAGTTCTGGCATGTTTATGTTTATATTGGCCATGGCAAGGCCAGAGGGGTCAAGAGCTACATGTCGTCTCCCATGAAGGTGGGAAGACTGGGAAGATTGTTCTTCTACTCTGAGATTTTTCCAAGATTTCTGACAGTATTTGTACCACGGATATTTGTATCGTGTTGTTGGAGGTCACGTGCAGTGGCTTTGACTCCAAGGACGCCACAGCCGGGTCATGGAATGACAAATTCACATTCACACACTGTGCCCATGTGATCCCATGTGTAGGGTTGGCTGTTTGTGCAGGACCCAGGGAGAGCTTCCCAGCTTCCTGGGGAGGCATCAAAAGCATGCAAGTTTTTGCATTGTTTGGAAATTCATACCACAGGAGGCTAGATATGGCCAGAAGCAAACCTACAAGTAGCATGTAATTCACCACCTTCACCTTTCACAGTTTTTCACAGTTTTTCACTACAGTACAGAATAGTCAGAATAGTCAATCGGCATGCGTGCCATTTCCCAAATTTCAGAGAGCTTCCCAGTAGCAGGTCCCACGGTCTTGACGCTTCCCAGAGCGCCTCGGTGGATGTGGCCTGGAATCTCAGGAAGTCATTGAGTCATGGTCAAAATTCTGATGGTCGTAGCTCCATTATCAATTCATATCATTTCATAGGGATCCATAATGCCATTAGAATTAATTAATGAATTTCATGATCCCTATGATATGGATCTATTATAATTATCATGCCATATAATATATATATATATAATGCCATTTAGAATGGCCAATCTAAGGATTCCCAACAATGGTGTGATGACCATAACCCACCTATCATGTTTTGACCGTGGCACAGATGCGGAAGCAAATTCTATCGGATTTTCTCCGGACTCAACCTGCCAACAAAATTCTGAGGCCTTCCACCATTGCCAATGCTTAGACCCGTTGGTCTCCACTTGGTTCACTTGTACAGTTTTTGTTTTGACCTCAGTCTTCCGTCCGCAACATCTTGATAGCATTTTTAGAATTTTATAGCTATTGTCATCTATTGTCATCTATTGTCTATTGTACAACATTGTACAACATTGTGGTGTTGTCGTGTCGAGGTTGAGTCAGATGGCCTGATTCTCTCGCATCTCTGCTGATTCCGTCAGCAACCAAGCAACCTCGTCCAACAGCGTTTGTGCGGCGTTGTGCAAGACCATTCAAGCACAGATTTCAAGGTTGGTCTAGAATCCTTGGAGCCGGGACAGGCTCGTCAGGGCTTGTAGGACGTTCCTTGCCAATGCATTTGCACCCAAACTTGCTGTTTCCTGCGAGGTTTCGCTGGCGACAACGTGCATGCCAATTCATGGTGATTCAAGTAGGAACTGACTTGCTGAACTGAAGGAGATTTTGCTGATCATAGAAAGCGACAGAATCAACAACCTTTTCCGGAAAGGAAGAGATGAACTCAGAAGTCTGAAACAGATGTTAATTTGCGGTGCAACGTGGATGTGACTTGGCAAAGTTTAAAGTTGTTGACTTTCAGTGCAGATTCACTCTCAACATGGACAAAGTCAGCGAAGCATGTCAGTAGCTTTAGCAAGTAGTGTGAGCTGAATGGTCTCGCCTTTGTCGAGTGCCAGTTCTGGATAGTGTGACAGTGTCAAAGTCATGGTGCAGATGATCGCTTCAGGAAGCGATCAACGAACCGTGCAGGATGATTCATATGTTGTGTTGGAATGTGTTGGAACTGAGGGATTCATGTCACATTCATGTATGGTCCAACGAGATTGCTTGAGATTGCTCGAGCTACCTTGGTAAAGGGATGTTTGTCACATTGACGACTGAAAACATGCAACATCGTGCAACATCCGCATGCAGCCCTAGATTCATTTACCCACAATTTCACAGGAAAAAAAAATAAATAAATATATATATAATGGTTACAAAATGTTACAAACATGTTGACCTTGTTGAGCCTACGTATGCTTTTCAAGCAAGTACTGCTTGGGACTTTGGAACACTGTGCTGGACATGTATGGGATTGGCAGGGCTTGCTAGAGCGAGAGTCCTGAAGCCAATGTGAAAGGGAGCTTTCACGGGTCTAGCATCCGAGCATCCGAATCTGTGACTTTCAGTCAACTCAGTCAATTTGAGTCTGTCCACTGTCCACATCTGTCCACTATGTTCATGGATTCATAGGTGTGTACCTCTGGATGCATCAACCCGAGAGTGTTCTGCCCGCGTGGCATTGCCAATGATGCGTAGAAGAAAAAAGCCGGGGCAGAGAAACACATGAAGAACTTAAGAACAAGAACAAGACAGGCATATTGCAGACACTAAGTGTCAGTGTTTCTTATTGACCTGCGAAGATCGACGATGCCGGAAGGGCTCGCGGGAGGACTTGACTGGCAGCCCATTTTGCCCATTTTGGAGAATATCGGCTGTTACACCATGTGAGGAAGATTCATGAAAACAAACATACAACACGTGGACCTGAACGGGAAACATGCAATTTTCTTGGCATCACGCGCGTTATTTTGAGTATCACTTTTCAATACAAGAAATCATCCTTGACTCATTATCATTAGTTCGGATAGTTTGGCATGGTAGAACCTTGACCGAGAAATGCAACCACACACTCAATCTTTCATAGACCAAGGGACTTAGAGACTTCAAACCGTGAACTGTTCCTGTACAAACCGGATTATTTGTATTTTTATTTTCACAGACACTCAATGCCTTGACTTCTGCATAGAGTTGGAGACCGGATGGGAAAATCAAAGTGGCCACGTCTCCACCATGTCGCAAATCTTTGGAGATGTGGCCGATGTGGCCTTGGCGATGCAGGCAAGGTTGCGCTGCGTTGCCAAACCAGAGGTGTTCATGTGTTTGATGGGAGGCACTCGAAGAGTCCTTGCAGTCCGAGGTGTGCCAAAGACAATCAACATTTGCATCATTTTGCATCATTTTGCATCATTTTGCATCATTTTGCATCATTTGAGAAAGATTTGCTATGTTTGGCCCAATGTTTGGCCCAATGTTTGGCTGCGTTTGGTTGTGCTTTCAGTTTGCATCCATCCACAGGAGATCCGGAATCTGCCCTGGCCTTCATCCAGGGCCTCTATCCCCACACCCATGCGACAGGACGGCCTTGTTTCAAACAGAACCACATCTCCATTGTCATATTTAAGATTTATTTGAGGATGTACTTCCGGAATCTTCCGGATGTGATTGAGGATGCGTGATTGAGGGTGTGTGTGCAGTAGAAGTCTCTCTAGGATTTATGTGTAGCTGCTGTAGCTTGAATTTTGAGTCCAGAATAGCATCAGGAAAAGGTGTTCTGGAAAGTTCTCGAAAGACTGGCTTTGAAATTCCTTGAATCATCTTGAATCAGGTTCTCACGGCCTTGGAAGCAGGCATGAACGCTGTGAGCAGAGACGAAGAGTCGGTGGTGCCCTGGCGTCTTTTCGGATTAATATCCTGGCTGACACGGGACCCTGGGCTTTTGCAGATACTCCAGGAGACGACCGGCGAATCAGGACGGACCGCAAACATCCACAAACGTTGTACTACTAGGTAGGTCTGTGTGCTGCATGACAGCTCTGGCAGATGTGCTATAGTCTATAATAGTTGTGGCGCAGAGATGGTCACAGCGTTGCAATGCACCTGATGGTCCCGAGCAATCTAATCTAATTCAAAAACAGAAGCTGTAAGGGACCTAGGAAGATGTTCTTTTCAGAACCGTACATGAACTTTCAGACATTGTGTATCATCAGAGCACATTTCCTGAGTAACAGTCTTAATCTTATTCACTGGAGACTGAAAACCAAGGAGCCTCTTTGACTCTTTTGCCTTCCCATGCAGTGCACAAAAAATTCGCTGACCCTGTCTCCAAAGGTGTCAATGCTGCAGCATTTGCGCCAGCACTTGGAACATCCGAATGCTTCTGAGCCTTGGCTCGCTATCCATTGTACCATTGATGCATCATTGATGCACCATGATCCAAGCCAGCCATGGTGAATTTCGTCAAAGTTGTCCGAGCTCGGCTCAAAGTTGCATCCCAGGACCTGCTGCTGAACCTTTTGTCCAGCACCTTCTTGCTTGTTGGTGGCAAAGTGGAAGAGTTACTGGGTGCAAAGACACCTTTGACGTTGAAACGCTGGATCTTGCAGGCCTTGGCAGCTTGTCAGAAGACTTGTTCAGAGTGTGACTCTGATTTTAATCGCAGCATATATTTATATGAGCTCATATAATAATATATTGGAAGTCTTACACTTGAAGTACAGGCAGGTGTTAACATTTTGAAATCTACATGAATCTAGGCTATTTGCTGAACTTTGGAGGCTCCGGACTTCCATCACCATCCACCCATTTTCCAAGTTTTTTTCCTGAAGCAAGGTACGTGAGATCGACCTTTTGTGGGCAAATTTTGGTCAACTGCTTTTGCAGAGACTGAAGACTTTCTTGAAAGGCTTCCGCTGGCTTGACAAGGAGTGCACTTGGGGCAATGGGTTGGGAACATGGAGATCCTTGTTCTGGCAGCACGGCAATAGCCTGAAGTCTGTTTGCGCTTTCTTCTCACTACGAAACTTAATTACAGGTCTTTGAAACAAAAGGGTATACATTCGAATCCTCACAGCGATCTAATCCATCTTTCCCTTGGGTTGCTTCAATTTGCAGGATGAGAGTGGTGCATTTGGGCAGATAGAGTTTGTCCGTGCCTACATGGAGCTTTGCATGCAGGTGCCTTGCAATCTTCAAAAGTGGTCCCGATGCAAATGTTTGTAAACATAGCAGTGTGAATCTAATTGTGTCGTATGGCCCTTTTTGGCACGCGGAATGCCGCAATCCTCTCTAATTGGCAGCCGTCCATAAAAAGAGAATCCTTCGATCCTTTGCTTCCAGGCCAGAGATGCAGAGTCTGCAGAGGGCTTCAAGAATGCCTACGAAAATCAACGTGCTGATGCTGGCTTTCTTTTCAAGCTGCCGCTTGGCGCTTGCACTAGCCGGAATGCTGAGTGCATAGGACTGCAATGGACTGCATAGGGCCGGGCCAGGAAAGCATTCTGAATGACTTTGCACCAAGGCTGGCAGGGTCATCGGTAAAGAGTGTGGAGGAAACCGATGAAGTTGGGATCTCGCTCTACAACCTTGCATCTTGGACAAGTTTGGAGGAGGAGTGTTTTCTCACCCAGTCTGGAAAAGGAGACTGGACAATTGTCACTGGCTCATGTCAATGTATGAACAGCCAGGATGAACTGCAGCATTGTGACAAAAATAGAAGTAGCCGAGTCAGGTGATGCGCATCGTTGGTGTTCAACATCAGGACGCTGGCTAGTGCGAATGGTACGGGTTGATAGCCCAAGTGAGTATCTCCGTCGAACTAGTCTGGAGGAGCTGACAACATTCCGACGACAGGTCTTTTCACACTACCCGAACGTCGAGGCTGGACCAACAATAGCTGTGTTTTTCAATTGCAATGTGCGAACAAGACTGTGCAAAGGCTCATTCTGCTGTCTTGACAGGCATGCTTTGCAGCGCATGCGCAGAAAGATGCGTCTTCCACGGAGCTCAATGAGCAACAGCCTCTTGCCGCTGACTTTTATCTTGCAAAAAGCAATCAAACGCGATTTGAGAGACTCATCTCGTACCATTTCCAGACTCCAAGTCGTCCTCCTTCAGATCCCTTGACTGCTTCCAGGTGGCTGCACGAAGGACCTCAAGATGTGTTCAATGGATACTTCATGATACTTCCACCTCCATCAAGACTCCCTCAATTAAACACATTCCGAGTAAAGTGCCGCAAAAGCAGTTGCCCAAAAATGTTTGCACCGAATTTGACATGCCCCAAACACAGCCGCCATGCTTGAAACTAATTTATTGCCACAAGTTTAGTAGCATTTTGAGTACCGTATGCAATTATTGTGCCTTCCAAAACCGGGGATCCAGGTAGGTGCGGTCAACGAATGTTCCAGAAAAGGTTAAAGGAATATTTCGAGACCTTTCGAGACCTTTGAGACTTTAAGCCCATGAGCATGCCGGCAATACACCACTGATGCCACTTATGCCCTTGGGTGCATATTTTCCCAGACATAATCAGACAGATCAAACACGTGTCTGATACGTTGAGAAACATGAGTACAAGATAGTACAAGTAGACTGCAGTCAAATGGATTCATGACACAATCTCCCCAAAGGTTTCTGCAATTGGGTGCCTGGTTGCGGCAGTTTGATGAGATCCTTGGCTTGTGAAGACATGATACATAGATTTGCAGAGCAAAACTCTTGAAGAATGATACAAGTGGTGACAGAAAATGCTTCCTGAACCACGGCTTCCAAAACATGATGTTTAGGAGATTCAGACAGCGCTTGGCTCTGCAAAGCTTCGCTGAAGATGAGGCAAGGCTCGATCAGCCAATGAAGAAAGAAACAAAGCTTTAGATGTAGAACATTGTAGAACAATTGTAGAACAACATTGTAGAAGAATTGTTAAAATCTTTTGGACTGCAAGTGCCTCAAGTGCCACAAGTGCCATTCCCACCGGATGCAGCATTGGGGAGGTGGCCGAAATTGCCGGAAAGCAAATTCGAGTGAGTGCTGAAGCTTGCACCGCAATGTACCGCACATGTCGAAATTCGAAGAGCGATTTGAAAAACATGCTTCAATTCGAATCTTTTTGGATTTTGGCCATGCTCGGATCTGAGGAACTGGAGAAGAAGTTTCTCCGCTTCTTCAAAGGCCGGCGGCCAGTAGGTCCTCCGGGTCCGCTGCCTGATTGATGCAGATCTGCGCCAGGTCTGGACATCAATTGTTCTGGGGCACTCTCCGTTACCGAAGTCAAGCAGGCTTTTGCTGAGGCCGAGGGATGGCACTGGCAGAACGATTTGAGGCGTAGCAAGTGGTCTTGCTGTCAAAGGACATCCAATGACATCCATACCATCCTCTTTTTCTAACACAGGCCAGGAACACGAAAAGAGACGTTACCTGCCTTTTCCCGCACCAAAAGCCAATAGGTTGCGCCCGCACTCCCAAGCAGTTGTGTGCGACGGCGAATTTTGTGACTTGGTTTGTGAGCCGTTTTGTGTTGCACAATCGGTTTGTTTCTGCCTCCACTTGTGCGCACAGATAAAGCCCCAGGAGCGCACCACCACACACTGCTGTGCATCACAAGAGTGGACTTTTTGGCTACTTGAGTGGCTACTTGAGGCTTGCTCATGGCTCTTTGCACGGGCTCATGAACGAAGTGAAGAGGTTTGGCCATGGGCGAAGGAAAATGGCTGATATTGGATGGTGCATAATACTGTACAGGAAGTTCATTGCATGGTACAACCCGGTTTTGTGAACCGACCAAAGGTAGTTAGGACTGCTCTTAGATGGCTACAGCTTGTCCAGGTCTGCTGACGATTCGGACAGTGAAGTTGAGGTCGCAACAGGAGCTGCGGGACGCGTGCAGGCAGATGTGTGACAGCGAGGGTCATCGCAGATGATTTTCTCCAATTCGTGGTATTCAATGGATTGAATTCCACTACATGACAAACCGACATAAGAAGACATAGTATGCCGCTCTGGAGGCAGAAAAGATTTCAGAGCTGCTGGAGCTTCCAACGGTTGAAATCTGCAACTTCTTGAATGCAATTGAGATCCAGGCGCACAGACGGTGTTCTTTGGCCTGAAGATTCAGCTCGCAACTGCTTTGTTGAAGGAATCTGCTGGAAAGAGGAAGGTGAAGTTGCCCAAAGATGGTGGCTCGACTTGCAGAACTGTTGAAGCCTTGCAAAGAACAGCAACAAACAAGCATGCAGCCTGCGACCAAACTTTGAATAAACAACCAGAAGTGAAGAGCACAAGAATTGAGATCTATACACCCAAACATCAGCAAGAAGGACTATAATACAACCAACAAGAATGAAAGACACATGAAGATCAAGAGCAACATAGTCAAGGCCAGACCACTGGGAGTCCGACTGGCGGCACTGCTCTGAACCTCCAACTGTACCGTCACGGCCGTGCAGACCACCACATCGCCACCCACCACAAGCCATTTGACCCCATACCACCATCACCCAGCATCATCCACTGACACCCAGCATCAGCCACCATCATCCAGCTTAATCCATCATCAACATCACCAATTCCCACCAACCTCCAACCAGAGACCCTGACTATGACTATGACGACGCCGATGAGGACAACCACAGCCAGAACGGCCAAAGCACCAAGAACAGCCAAAACAGCCAGAACAGCAAGAAGGAAACGGGAGGAGGCGGAGGAGGAGGAGGAAAAAGAGGAAAAAGGACAGACGAAGAACACCAAAACCACAACTAAAAGCAGGATGATCAAGGTGAAGGCAGCGGTGATAGCGACGGCGACGAAAGACACAGACAACAACAATGGGCAGGACAAAAGCAAAAACAAACATAAAAACAATAACAACTCAAGCAACTAAAGTTATCTAAAATCAAAAAACTGCTGTGTTGATCGAAGGAAGTTTAGAAGTCAAGTTTCCGACAATATGGACAGATGAAAAGCAGAGTATGGCAGAGGCAGAGAGAAGAGAAAAGATTAGAAGAGAGCAGAGTAGAAGAGAAAGAGTCAGAAGAAAGAAGATGCAGATGCGAAAAGGTAGGAAAGTCGCGAAACACTGTGTTTTTCCAATGATTTGAGGCTCCGGAGGGTCGAAAAGTAGGCTCGCTAAAGCGGCGGGTGCGGAGCCAGCTGGCCAGATGAGAGATGAAAAATTGCACGCCGTTGTGGCGCGAAGCACATTTCGAAGTCAAAATGTACAAAGCACACCATTGTCGGACCACTTTTGGAAGTTGAGATGTCGAAAAAGTGCATGCCGTTGTGGCGCGAAGCACATTTCCAAGTCAAAATGTACAAAGCACACCATGCTCGGACCACTTTTGGAAGCTGAGATGTCGAAAAAGTGCATGCCGTTGTGCCGCGAAGCACATTTCGAAGTCAAAATGTTAAAAGCACCAGGGGTTCGGACCACTTTTGGACGTTGAGATGTCGTTCCGTGGCAGGTGCAAGGGATTGTGGATATTGTCAAAAGTGAGCAAAACGTGAGGGTTTTGTAGCATTTTCAACGACAACCACCACTACACCACACTACACTCCAATACACTACACTACAACTACAACTACACCTTCACTACACTCCACTCCACTACACTCCACTACACTACATTCAATTACATCCAATTACTCTCAATTACACTACACTACACTACACTACACTACACTGTACTTTGCTACACTGCACTACACTACACTACACTACATTCCACTACACTACATTACAATACATTACACTCCACTACACTCCACTACACTACATTACACTACACTACACTACATTCCACTACACTACACTCCATTGCACTACACTACACTCCACTACGCTACACTACAACTATACTACACTACAACTACACTGCACTACATTACACCACACTACACTACATTCCATTACACTCCACTACACTACACTCAATTACACTACACTACATTACACTACACTACACTACATTCCACTACGCTACACTACACTAACTACAACTACAACTGCAACAGCAACAATACTACATTTACACTACGCTACACTACACTAATTACACTACACTACGCTACACTACACTCCACTACACTACGCTGAATAACACTGCGCTACACCTACAACTACAACTGCAACTACAACTGCAACTACAACTGCAACTACAACTGCAACTACAACAATACTACATTTACACTACGCTACACTACACTACACTAATTACACTACACTAATTACACTACACTAATTACACTACACTAATTACACTACACTAATTACACTACACTAATTACACTACACTACACTACACTACACTACACTGAATCACACTGCACCACACCTACAACTGCAACTGCAACTACACTACATTGCAACTACACTACATTGCATTACACTACACTAATGACATTACATTACACTACGCTAATGACATTACACTACACTACACTACATTACACTACGTCACACTAACTACAACTACAACTATATAAGACTACACTACACTCCACTCCACTCCACTACACTACACTACGCTAGACTACACTACACTACACTAATTACACTACACTAATTACACTACACTAATTACACTACACTAATTACACTACACTACACTACACTACACTACACTACACTACACTACACTACACTACACTAATTACCACGACAGAGAGAGAGAGAGAGAGAGAGAGAGATGGATGCATAGATAGATAGGTGGGTAGGTAGGTAGATGGTCAGAGAAAGAGACAGAAAGAGAGAGAAAGAGAAGAGACCTCAACCACCTTTCGGTCCATCAGTGGCTTCGCTGTGCCATCCGTGATTCACAACAACCAATCTCTCCTATAGGTTTCCTATTTTTGAATATTTTTGAAACTTCCGCCGCCGCCTTGTGCGGTACTACTGGTAGCAAGGCCGTGCCAAGTATACCATTTCCATCCATTATACAAATTTATACCATATAATTTATAAATATTGACGACTCATTTATAGGTACAGTATACATGTAGAGCATGTAGAATTGTTTAGATGATATGCGTGGTGAATTTCAGCCAAGAATTGAACCACTTCAACCCTTGCTGTTCAAAGAGTCGCTCATGAAAACAACAGGAAATCACCCGAATTCTCGACTCAGACGGCACGTGCAGAGAGTAGGCCTTAGAATTATTTTGTCCGTTGCTTTCTTTGATGCAAGGTACAGACTACACCTTAGAAGAACTTGTCTTCATCTCAGTCACAAGGGTCTACTTCCCAACAGCTCGGGGCACGTGGGAGTGGGCACGCTGCATCGCACGCCCCAGGCTATCAGTGTTTTCCTTAGCAAACCACTGGACAAAGACCTCGAAAAACTAGTCTCGGCTGTGCTCCTTGGACTTGTGTGCAGCGGCAACATGGTCGGGGGACATCACGTCTGCTGTTGAGTATTAAACAATTACATTTTCTGTAATCTTCTGTCAGTGCAACAGATTGAGATGATTGAGATAAGTCTTAATAAACAATGAAAATAAAGGCAACTTTATCATGCTTCATCCCTCGATCTACTGGAAAAATCCAAACTCAAGGCAGAAGGGCGACCGGTTCAAAGCTTTGTCCTTCGAGGACTAGAGAGTGTGCTTCTGCTGATTCGACCATATCCAGTGCACCAAGTGCGCTGGTGAAAGGTTTTGCAAGCTTCGCTGATTTGCCAAATTTGAAAGGACTTCCGGAGATACGTTTTTCGTGCGTCTGATCACGACAGTGAACCCTTCCTTTCCAAAGATGGCAAGTCTGCAAAACCTAAACCTGCCAAGCCCTCCGAGTCGAAAGGGGCAAGCCGCTTGGACCAGAGACTGAGACCCATGGAGAAGTCCAACGGATAAGGATAAGGAGTGATTTTCACGAATTTGTACTTTTGTGCGTGTTTGTGCTGCACCATGCTGCACCCATTTGAATTGCTCTGCATCGCTCCACAGCTGTGCATCGTTTTGCTCTAGAAATCACTTTCATCTCTTCGTTGAGTTCTTCAGCTTCAGATGTGCTGTTTGCTTCTGAGGCGTGAAGTCAGTGAGTACTTCAAAGCCGCTTCATCATGCAATTTGCAATCTTTATCTTTCCGTTCAGCCTTTGTGGACATAAACAAATGGACTGCCGGCTGCCATTCGAATTGTGTCCCTGATGCCAGGCCTCTATGGTCATTGGACTCTGGATTGTTTCTGGTAAGATCATCTGCTGACCAACTACGTGTGGCGTACGATGCCCTTGATGCTTGGCTGTTCAACTGGAAAAGCTGACTCTAAATGCTCTTGCATTGCCCTGCATGGATGACCAAACTGTGGTCAGTTCATTGACCTGAACCTGCCCAGGAGCGAGTGCATGGCAACGTTACCGTCACTTTGCAGCTTTTCCATGTTTTTCCAGTTCTCGAGCTTTTGAGGCTTTTGCTTAGAAGATCATCGGTCTATCAGTCTATCCAAACATTTGCTGGAATTTGACAAAATTGGGCCCAAGAAGTGTCAAGAAGAAGACCTTGAGGAACGCTCACTATGTGCAGCGAAGCAAACATACTAGAAATCACCTGCCAGCCAAGGTGAATGCTTTGCTGATCTCTTTCACAAACATCTCAGACATTATGGCCGTTGACCAAAAAAGATACAATGGTGGTGACCGCATTATGTGCCGCGCAGCTCGCTCGATTGTGAACATTTGTGAACAATTTGTCAACAATGGCAATTCTGAGACGTTTGCTTCTCAATAGTCGACTCAATCGTTGTCTTTGAATGTCTTTGAATGTAATATGAGACATATGTTGTCTATGGCAATTTCTGTGCAATTCTTTTCAATACTTTTCCCAGTTCTTTGACATGTCAACCAAGGTTCGACTCGGAGCGGACATGAACCCTCTTTGCGGAAAGCATCCAGTGGTTGCTGTCGTGCCATCTCGTATGATATGGACTGAGGACCGCCAAGTCATGCATCAAATCAATGCAGCACAGAAAATTACAGGAAACTTGCATCATCATAATAATTATATAATATTATATATATACATATATATATATATATACAATATATAAATATATATATATATACAATATATATATACACAATATATATATAAATATAAATACACGCGTATAATTATATCTAAATTGGCATCAGCCTGCGTCAGTTTTGCTTCACTCCTTGCCACAATACACAGTTTGGCTCTTTTGAGTTCCTTCCAGGAAGGCAAGGGCCACTGGCTGATAGACGGTCAAAAGATAAAGAGCTTTGCCCAAATTGGAAGCAACTCGGATGCACAGAGACATTGGAGACATTGCTCCGTGGTGAAATCTCCAGACACTGAGGTTTGCCACATTTCCTCCCACCAGGCGAGAACTGGTGATCGCAATGATAGTGACAATGTGATCACAATGTGATCATATGTTATAACTTATTTATAATGTGATAATGTGGCAATGATTGTTGTATGTTGTCTGTTTTTTTGTTTTCACCCAGCATTCTTGTTCTCAGGCAGCGCTGGTGTAAGGGAATGCACTGTATGGCTCACTGCACCATGGCCGACGGAGCATCGAGTGGCTTGGTCTCGGAGTTTTCGTCTGTGGGGCCACCTGGAGGGATGATCCTGAGATAGGACCTCAGACCCGCCGATTTTTCACTAAGTCACTAATTACATTATAGTAATCTATAATCATATGATGTAAATCTCTGTACTATAACAATATTACTAAACTATAGATACATATAGATACTATAGACTATAAATATGAAAGTATATATTTAGATATACTAATGTAATTGAAACTAAACACACACACATAGACATATTATATATACACATGTATATATATATACACATATATATATATACACATACACATATTTCTTGTTGTTGTCCATGTCTTTTGCTTCTTGTAGCTTCTGATCATTAGAGGCTTTCGACGTGAGAGTCTTTGCCTCTGACGCTGGACGAGTTCCGCTGAGACAGGTGGCAAAGCTGCAGATAAACGTAGTGAGCCACCTCGCACATGACTAGGTCCATTGGTTGTCAATCTAATCTGAGATAACCTGAGCGTATGGCAACTGTAGATGTGTTCCGAAGAAGCACACAATGAGAAAGGCTGAGATCTTTCGCTTATGCTGAGGTAGGTGGCCAAGTTAGCTTCTCTGTCCATATGCCATCCCCGGCAGCGCCAAAGTTGGATGCTTGGCTTTCAAAAGACTCAAATACTTATCAACCCCGTGCACTGGGTGGAATGAATCTAGTCTTGACTTTTTGAGCAAGATGAAATACTGAAGAACCAACCATTTCTTTGTCTTTGAGCCCTTTGGATTTCGAAGATGACGGATTCTTATTGAGCTTTGCTTGATTGGATTCCGGCATAGAGCCTTGAGTGCTTCCAGATTTCCAAGCATCATTGACAACAGATGAGTTTGTGCGTTCAGAGGGCCACAATTCTTCGGATACGAAAGCTCTGTAGGGGTTCTATTTAAGCAGCTGTGATGTTGATCTTGCTGGAGCTTCAGAAAGCCCAGCATGGACGATTTGTTCGCCGGGGCAATGGCCGTGTTTTTTTGCTATGAAAGCAGTTCTTGGAAAAAAATGTTCTTGGCACCTTGGCCAAAGCTGGAGGAACAATTTGGCCTAGAGCCCCGAGCGAATAGCTGCTCTGCTCTCCTCCATTGGGTAGCTCCAGTGGAAGAGAAGTACTGTCCCCCGATTGTCAAGCACATTTTGCATGTTGCTTCTCTGCAGCACTAAGAGATGACAGCAGATTGGTCAGCATTGTCAGCCCGTCAAATCCGTGAAATCCATTGATTTCCGTTAATCCGTTAATCCATGTTGATCCATGTTGATCCATGTTGATCCATGTTGATCTTTGTGGCAGACGGCAGATGTCAAGTTGTAATCTCGCCGCGGGCAAGGAGCCTATGCTTCCACCCACTCAGCAGGTGGTGAGCAGTGGAGACCAGGCCATCAAGGCAGGGCAGAACTATGCAGAACTCTAGTCATTTGGTGCCCTGCATGGATGCCCTGTAGGATGCACATTGGATGCACATTGGATGCGTGGACATTTGGAGTTTCCTTTGGGTATTTTGAGTCTTCCTCCATTCCTATGCTTTGGGTTTGGGATGCCAAGGATTTGGAGGTGTGGAATCAGGATTTGAGGGACTTGGAGAAGCGCAAGAGCATCAAAGTCAACGACCTTCAACGTGTCTGGGAGAGCAGTGGTACTGCAAGGGATGGCCCGTGAATGAGATTCGACACTTGTTTTGTTTTTTCAGTGAATCATTATTGCTCATTTGAGCGCAAGATCAGACACAGTATCTTAATGTCTAGTCAAGATTCATTCGCAATAAATTGCAGCGCAAGTTGCATCATTTTCTCCACGATCAACTTGCCATGAGGTGGTGTGCCATATCGCTTTGCAGTGCAGTGTGTGCACCAGGCAAGTGATGCATTGACATGTGGGCAAACATTGCTGCATATTATGTTCGTATCTCCGTATCTCTTTATTTCTTTGTGTTTACCTGACCTGGTAAGAAACCACGCAATGCAACATAATGCAAGGCTTGCCTCTTTTCATGTACTGCAGAATCCCACAGGCCCACAGGTCTGGACCGGGGCTTGGGGCCCGGCAGGTGGAATCGAAAGAACAAGAAGTCCTCGGAGCTGTCAGCGACTTCTCGGAGACGATTACGATGCCAATCTATCCGGTGCCACCACAGCCAGGCCGTGTGGGGATGACATGGTACGACCTATGCTTTGATCTTTCTTGGAACGAGATGGAACAGATGGAACTATAGGCCTTCTAGTAGGCATCAATGAAAGGCATCAACGAAAGGTGGCACAGTGGCACCCACAAGGATCCGCAAGGTTCCCAAGCAGTTGGCAATTTGGAAACTGCCTGCTGTCTGTGGTGGACAGATCCGAGCTGATCCGACAGATTTGACAACTCAGCAGAGCTTCTTTGACTTTGGCAGGCACACCTGAAGTGCGAGCTTGGCAACAGACAGGCAAACTTGTGTCCTGGCTATGGACAGAAGAGCGGAATTCGGAGGATTCAGAGAAATTCAGCTATTTGCCAGTTCCACGCACGTCCCAGTGTTGATCATGTTCTTTGCCGACTAAGGAAGTCTTAGAGATACTTGTGCCTGTTCAAGATTCTGATCTCGTGGACAGGCTGACTTGACTTCGCATTAGACTTGTGATATGTGATACTATGCCAATGTTGCTGAATCGTCACCCGTCACTTGTTTGGGAATGAAGAGGAGTTGTTTTGCAGGTTTTTTTGCTACGACATCGAATACAGACCAAAGGGCAAGAGTGAATGGACAAGGCCGAGCAGTTGCTTCTTTGAAGACATTGATTGCCTATCATTGACAAATTGATGTAGATATATATATATATATAAATGGATACAAATTGACTCACTTGCTTCTAGACAGATTGGACATGATTAGAGAGCCAGATCAGCCTTTGAAGCCAGGATTCCAGACAGCCAAATGCACATGAACCATGATCCGAAGTGGGACGAGCCCTTGGACAGCTACTGCTTCTCATGTTTGCTCATCGGCTTCTCGTCCTGAGAGCCTAAGCAGTTTCGATGGCTTCATGTGGTTCGATGTGTAGCGGATTGTAGCGTAGAAGATGCTACAAAATCTACAAATATATGCCAAATATGCCAAGAACATCTACGAAGCTTCAAACATCTTTTGATCTTACCATATCTTACCTGTTCCCAAGATTTACAAGACCAAATTTACTTCTTGTTTTGTTTTCCAAAGAGGGATAAGAGAATTGGGATCCTCCGTTGCTCTGTTGATGTTGGCTGCCAAGCCAAGCCCAGAGCGTCTCAGTGCTACGACTTGCTGGTACTTTGAGGCCCAAAGCCTGTGATTGAAGAACGTGATGCTTTGGAGCTGCTGGCTTAAATCGTTTTTTTACTTACAACTTACAACTCAGAAGATCAGATTGCGGTAGAAGTAGATGGAGACTATTCATGTTTGTTTGATTGCGTGTTTGATTTTGCGTCGCTGACAAAATACAAGAATGTGTGGAAAATCGCATGCATGGCTGTGGATAAAAACGATGAGCGCCAAGATGGCCAGACAAACGTCCCAGGGATGATTTCGTTATGTTGTTGAAATGATCGTTCATGTTTGGAATGTTCACCACAGCACTGCAATTCTGTACCCTGTTAATTCACCAACACCCGGGGAACTGTGAGCGAAATGGCTCAAATCTCTAGGAACGCAAATGATGTGGCAACAAACACTTCTGCAAACGACAGAAACCAGGCGGTTCAAAGTTCAAGCTAAGCAAGTTCTGATTGCAACTGGATACAGGTCTCCAGATTATTGTTGTGCAGAACCCTAGGCATCTGCACCCTGTTATGTAAAACAAGATCGCATTCACTGTAAAGGTCAACAGATGGTAACAGATGGATGTTTCACTTCCCAACACTTTGTCGATCTTTGTCGCATACTGTACTTGTTGGCCTAGTCATTACATGGAACACAAAGCAAGAACGGTTAACAGAGTCCTGATGGCAATAGGGAGAATTCCAAGCTGTCCATATCAGCTTAAAAAACACAAAACAACCTCGGAAACTGGTGCACTGGCAGTGCTTGTTGTTGATTCAGGTTTCGAGCACGATCAGTGAACAATGCGGGGCCTTCAAGATGGAGCCCTCCGTCTCCAAGCATCCATCTGGGAAGCGCGGAAGACCAGGCACGTGGACTGCTGAAGGATGGTGAAGGATGGTGAAGGATGGTGAAGGTACTTCAGCCATCTTCAGCCATCTTCAGCCTGGAATTGCAGTTAATCCTGAGAGCTTGCAAAGGGTGGTGGTGATGCAGAGCAGACCGAGTTGCAACTCACAGTGTCTGAGCTGCAAATTCAAATGACAATGAGATGCCCGTGTGTGATACATCTCTTGCATTTAAGATTATGAAGAACTTCAGAGTTCCGCTTAGGCATTAGATGTGTTTTCTGCAGCATCAGCGGTGCTTGCAGATGTTGCAGTTGGTTTCTCAGAGAACCGTGGGAGCTTCACAAGACTTATAGTCAGTTCAATGACTTTTAGGCTTTTTGAACTGAGCCACTTCATTTTTTGGGTTTGTGGAGTCTCAGCGTCTCAGAATCAGACAATGCTGCGTCTTCGAATCAGACAATGCTGCACCGCACCAGGCTGAACCATCACCAATTCAAACAGGCCAGGAAACTTCCCAAGTTTCTGCACGTCTATGCCTTTTGTTGGCGTCGTTTCTTTCACAATTCCACTTCAGAACAGCAACTTCCAAACATCAATATTTTGCAACCAGCTTCAGGCTTCTCACTGCTCAGCAACATTCAGATTGTCAGCATTTCTGTCTGTTTCTCTCACACTCTCCCCCTCTGTCTCCCTCCGTCTCTCTCTCTCTCTCTCTCCCTCTCTTGCCCGCTCGCTCTCTCTCTCTCTCTATTGAATTGTCTCTCTCGTTTTTCTGTTTGTTCTGCTTCACCTTCACCTTACACCACTTGCTTTTCCCGTGTCCAATTGCAGTGTCATTGACATCCTTACGCAGTTACTCTCGAGCCCATGTCATTCCTATGTAATTCCTATGTTTGTTCGGGCCCCACAGCGCTGCTGGCCAGGTAAAGCCACTCTGTCTCGCGGACGGACACAAATCTTGGAGAGCCCCAAACCATCACTGGCTCATTCGAATTTCCCAAAATGTCCTCGGACGCATTGTCGCATCCAATGGCAATTAGAAGAAGGCGGGCCTTACGTGAGCAGGATTGAAAGGATGCGCGCACTCACATATCATTGAATGTATCTTTCACTCCATCTACGAATGGGGGCAAAGGGCAGGCTTGATTACAGCTGAGAAACAGCAACCATGGACTTAACATGCACTTAATGAGATCACTTGAATTATATAAGTATACTTAAGTGTGTACTTAACATCACTTATATATAAGTGATCACGTATATATATATATAAGTGATTTTAAGATCGTTGTTGTCGAAGCTGCAATGTTCGTGGCCTGATCCAGGTGAAGAGATTCACTACCAGGTTGAGGCTCGCGAGGAGCGGTTGCCATTCTATGCGGCGTGGACTCCGTTGCCAGCGTACTATCGCTACAACGAAGACAAGGCAAGGAAGACAAGGTGAGACTATGGTGAGATCAATTCGTATGAAATTCTTCTCCTGTTACCTTGTAAGGGGTAGCGACTTGAACATTCGTTGGCTGCAGGTTGGAGAGGTCTTTGTTTCAGGCGCTTCGCACATGCCAGAATGTCTTCGGAGATGTGTTCCTCTTCTTTTTCTTCCTCTTCCTCTTCTCCTTCTATTTCGCTATAGTTCTCTCCGAAGTCTGAAGTCTTAACATCTTTGTTGGCTCCAGCCGCTTGCTTTGAGTCTTCATGTCATTTGAAGAGCAGCTTGTGTGGTTTCAAAATTCCACTGGGAAGCCAAGATTCTGTCATTGCAGCAGGTCTTGAGAGCTTTCCTGTGGCGGAACCGCTGATCCTGCGAATGCTCAAGGGCAGTGGGAAGCGAGGCATCGTGGCATCGCCCTTTCGGCGTTTTTTTTGGTGATTTGACACTCATTTTGAGCGAAGGACATCTAGAGATTGTCAATCTGCCAAGATCATGGCCGGGGAGTGACTATGTGCAGGGAGTACCTATGCAAACATGATGAGTGGTTGCACCTGCGGGAGGTGTTTGTGCCACCGTCCGACTTCATGGAGTTGCTGGTCCACCTGCTCCACCGTCTCTACAACTTGCTCGGACGCTGACTGCACCCGGCAGTGCACAGCCCAGCTAGGCAGAGCGTTGCGCAGCATTGTGCAGCATGGTAGGAAGAGGTGCCCTGCGGTACACTATCTACTCCTTTCGGATCCTTTCTGTAGACCGTTGCTCCTGAGTAAGGTGAGCTCCCAGTGGCAGAGCTCATGTGGCATGAGAAGGACGGCATAGAAGCAGCACAATCACAATCTTAAGACTCTTAAGACTCTTAAGACAGGGATGCCACTCTAGGGATGGTAGAAGATGGCAGGCATGGTGATGCCAGCAGTCTCGTTTCTACTTGCTGACTCGGCGAGACGGAAGTCTTTGCTTGAACAACAAGCCTTTCGAATCTCTACGGAAGAGTTTTCCTCTCTTTTTGTTTTGCCCAGGAGCCCCTGAAAGAGATGAAGACATTGATCGAGGCCAGATCCCAGTCAAGCCTTGTCACAAGGTCAAAGTTGTTGCCTGTGAGGCCTCTTGGGAACTCGAAAACTCCTTGAAGACAGGGTGGAGTCAACTTGCTACGGCGCAGCCTATGCAAATGGACGATGGAGAAGAGGGGCTTCTCAACATTTGTGCAGCTCTTAGTCGTTTCATGAAGCATTTTCTGGGCTTCGAAGTTGCAGTTTATGCAGAGCAAATGAGGTTTCTGTAAGATTCTATAGGTTTCTTAGTGCCTCGTTCACTTTGATGGTGTCATGATGTCCAGTGGTTGGTAGTCATTTTCGTCGGCATTTTGTAAAAATGGAACAAGTATTGAACTTCAAGGCTTTGTTCAGCTTCAACTGCCGAATGCCGACGGAGGAGTTCCGTTGACATACATTGACATCCTGAAAAAATGAAAAAGTTGGATCGCTTCAGTTGCACCGCTGCAGGACAAGGAACTCGTTGTTCCCTGCGGATGCGGTATGAAGGGCCCGATGGACAGAAAGGGGAAGCATCTGCTGAGGCTGTCATCAGAGTTCGCACCCAGATACTCAGATACTCGCATTAACAGATTTAGTGTGATTTAATAGGTTTACGAACGTTTACGATGGTTTACGTCTTATAGGTCTGATTTGTCATTGGCATTTAGTTGAAAGAGCTGGACGATTCTTCTGCCAGACTGATGCTGTGCAGCTGGATGATGCGATCCAAACGGCAAAAGCAGCTCAAGAAATTGTAAGGTGCGAAAGATTGCGAAAGCAGCGCGACCGGATTTTCCATATCAAGCACAACTTTGATCTGACAGGCGAACAACCATTAAGAAAGCAAAGGCTCCGCGTCGACCGCAGCAGCTGACAATCATAAGTGGCAGCAAAAGCCTCTGGGAGGCGAGAGATTATTCTGAGATGCAGACAGTTTCAAACTTTCGAACCTTCTGGATCTGTAGAAATCTGTAGAAGGTATTACAATATGGAAGGTTCATGAATCAATGTTCCAAAATGTTCCAACTGTCTGTCACCAAGTTCTGCAGGTTTCTTGGGAACAGAAGGGAAAATCGGACAAAGTACCAATCTATGAAGCAGAAGTTTGCTTCGGCAAAGCTGGCTTGGAGGCTCCAGACGAGGAGAGACTTTTGTTGTGCATTTTCGCAAGATCCCAGTCGCTATCTCTGAGATCTCTGAGCATCATGGATGTTTAATGGTCTTGACGAAGTTGTGCCAGGATTGGCAGCCAGTTCGCAGCTTATACGTGCAACAGATGGAAGAGGCTGAAGGAGAGAATGGTGGACTACGTTCAGTAACAGCTCCTTGGATATCCTTGGATTCCAGAAGTGAATAGAAACACTGGTTGATACTGGTTGTTGATTTTTCCATCGTGCTCCCAAATGCTTTTAGGCTATTGCCCTGCATTGAAAGTACTGTTCATCAACCCCTGACACGGTCCGTGGAGGCGTTTATACATATAGACATATAGTACATAGATTGTATTGTGTATTATACGTATAATTTACAACATAATTTTTGTTAGTACGTGCGCAATATGCCTAATAATTACAGTATATAGCATGAACATGTGCATCATTTACAGTATGAACATGCGTTATGCCTATTACATAAACATATCACGAAAGGTAGCTCCAGAGGGGCTACCTTGAGTTTTACTTTACGAAGTAAAGGGGAGGGCGGCCAGCCCCGTTACCTGATTCTTCAGGAGATTGCTAGTCATTTTAGTACCCCTCCCCCCCCTCCACACCTCCCACGCACCCTAAGAGCAGACTCAAAATACTGTAATTTACAGTATTTTTGTTCTTTTCGGATCAAGAAACCACATTTTGCTACATGGTGAAACCTCCGTAAATACCAGTGTTTTTGCTAGGTGCTGGCCAAAAAACACTGTAAATACCGTGCTTTTTACTACCAGAGGCAAAAAACATCGTAAATACCGTGGTTTTGGGCTTCCGACCCGCCAAACACATTGGTATTTACGGTGTTTTTTGCTCCGAGCGATGCAAAAACACGCGAAAACACCACCGATTTGACGATTTTCGGCCACTACGGAACCGAGCAAAAAGGCTGCAGGGGTAACACCAACACCGACAAGAACAACACCAACAGCAACAGCAACAACAACAACAACGACAACAACAACAACAACAACCCACAACGCACAACGCACAACACACAAAGCACAACGCACAACGCACAACGCACATCACACAACACACAAAACACACAAAACACACACAACACACACAACACACACAACACACACACAACACACGCAACACACAACAACACAACAACACAACAACAACAACACACAACAACACACAACAACACACAACAACACACAACAACACACACACACAACAACACAAACAACACACAACAACACACCCCAACACACGCAACACACACACAACACACACACACAACACACACAACACACACAACACACACAACACACACAATACACACACACACAACACACACAACACACACAACACACACACAACACACAACAACACACCACAACGCACAACAACACACCACAACACACCACAACACACAACAACACACAACAACACACAACAACCACAACAACCACAACAACCACAACAACCACAACAACCACAACAACCACAACAACTACAACAACAACGAATGACAACAATAACAACAACAACAACAACAGCAGCAACAACAACAACAACACACAACAACACACAACAACACACAACAACACACAACAAAACACAACAACACACAACAACACACAATAACACACAACAACACACAACAACACACAACAACACACAACAACAACACACAACAACACACCACAACACACAACAACACACAACAACACACGCAACACACAACAACACAACAACACAACAACAACACACAACAACACACAACAACACACAACAACACACACACAACAACAACACAAACAACACACAACAACACACCACAACACACCACAACACACACAACAACACACAACAACACACAACAACACCCAACAACACACAACAACACACCACAACACACCACAACACACAACAACACACCACAACACACAACAACACACAACAACACACAACAACACACAACAACACACAACAACACACAACAACACACAACAACACACAACAACACACAACAACACACAACAACACACAACAACACACAACAACACACAACAACACACAACAACACACAACAACAACATCAACAGCAGCAGCAACAACAACAGCAACAACAACAGCAACAACAACAACAACAGCAACAACAACAGCAACAACAACAACAACAACAACACGAACACGAACAATACCAACACCAACAACACGACCAACAACACCAACACCACCAACAAACCCAACCACACCAACAACACAAACAACACTAACAGCACCAGAAACACTACCACCACCAACAACACCAACAACACCAATACCAACAACACCAACAACACCAACACCACCAGCACCACCAACACCACCAACACCACAACCGCCACCAACCCCAACCACATCGCCGAAGCCTTTCAGTCGCTTTTACCAGACTCCCCTTCATATTTTTGGAAAGAAATTGGCCGCGTCGCTTTTACCAGACTCCACTTTATGTTTTTTTCCCTGCCCTCTCCCCTTCATTTTTTCTTCGGTTCCTTTCTTGCTTACCTACCTTTCGTGTTCCCCCTCTCAAGTTGTAATACTGTGTGTGTCCCAGCCCAGAAACGGTCGCCGCCTGCCAGGTCCGCCCGTTTATACTTCTTTTTGGGGAGATGGCAAACCACCTTGGTTGGGGGGCCCCAAAGCACATAGCCCTCATGACATGTTCATGGATGCTGGTTTCGGGTCACATGGAAATAGGACTTCGCCGCACCACCCCGTCGGATTGCTGAGGTGGCAACGACAACGATGACTTCGCTGTGCGTACATGGGCCGGCCTGTGTGTAAAAGCGTCTGTGTGTACAAGTGATTGTGTGTAAAAGCGCTTGTGTGTAAAACCGTCTGTGTGTAAAAGCGTCTGTGTGTAAAACTGTTTCTGCGTAAAAGTCTTTGTATGTAAAACCGTCTGTGTGTAAAAGTGTCTGTGTGTAAAGGCTTCTGTGTGTAAAAGCGTCTGTGTGTAAAACTGTTTCTGCGTAAAAGTCTTTGTATGTAAAACCGTCTGTGTGTAAAAGTGTCTGTGTGTAAAGGCTTCTGTGTGTAAAAGCGTCTGCGTGTAAAAGCGTCTGTGTGTAAAAGTGTTTGTGTAAAAGTGTTTGTGTGTACAAGTGCCTGTGTGTAAAAGCGTCTACGTGTAAAAGCTTCTGTGTGTACAAGCGTTTGTATGTAAAAGCAGCTCCTGTGTGTAAAGGCTTCTGTGTGTAAAAGTGTCTGTGTAGAAGCGTCTGTGTGTAAAAGCTTCTGTATGTAAAAGCTTCTGTGTGTAAAAACTTCTGTATGTAAAAGCTTCTGTGTGTAAAAGCTTCTGTGGGTAAAAGCTTCTGTGTGTAAAAGCTTCTGTGGGTAAAAGCTTTGTGTGTAAAAGCGTCTGTGTGTAAAAGCGTCTGTGTGTAAAAGTGTTTGCGATGCAAACTATTGTCTTGCACTTCTCACTATTTTGTCTTGATACTCCTCTTCTCGACTGCCTATAACACAGCTTTCATATATCGTTTCTAATATTGCGTCTCCATACTAACAAGAGAAGACCCTGCTCCTCTACGCTCTCGGGCCATCCGTCGTCTAGTTTCAAGGGGAGTGCAAACATGTTGGGATAGTTATGGATAGTGTTAAAATGTGTTAAATAGGGCGCTGCAAAATTTGATGGTCGACATCATTTTTGAGGTGACCTTCCCCTTGGAACGGAAGTCTTGGCCTCAGCGGGACGACCATGATGCTACGTCCAAGCCAATTGGAGGGTACCCTCTGGCAATCTAACATAGTTTTGGAAAATTGGCCGTTAATAGATGATTTACCTATTAAAAACGGTGATTGTCCATATGTTAGTTTGCCACAGGGTAAACAACTTTACGGGCAATTTTTGTGGCACGTTTTTGAAGAATCCTTGAAACTTGATGGTTGAAACCTCCACATATGGAACTTGGGTAGAACTTGGAAGCAGCATCGAGTGCTGTAATTCAAATGTGCTACCTTAAACCAACCCCATTAAACACGTCACAATCTCTTAGGATTGCCCAAGAAATGTGGGACTCAAGTCTTCAATGGGCAAATCACCCTGGAAAATGAGCGGACTTCTTTCCAGTGTGCAAGGTTATTTTGTCGCAATGGGAAATTTTTTTTACTCTAGTTACCAGGTTGAATTGGCATTTGCTGTTAGGATATATCGCAGAATATTTGGAAGTTACGAGTTTCCTCATTCTATTCACAAAAAGGCAGATGTTTGAAGTCTAAGGCTGGTTTCTTCATATCTTTACAGTGCCGTCACCAGGGGTTAGCTCATTTCCATGCTGTTCCCAAACTGAGGACAGCATCAATGCCTTGCAGGAAGATATGGATGCCATGTCACAGCGGCTTCAAAGGCTGTGGCACCTGCGATTCCCCAAGGGAAAACCGGTTGGGGGGTTGAATCGGAAGATCATTTTTCATACTGGTAATCAAACATGGCTAGCCGGGAAATCCCTTGTAGATGGAAGGCGTTTAATCAGACTGGGGACCCATGTCCTTGGCAAGCTAGGCTTTGGCGGGGCAGGCATATGACGGTATATGGTCATGTGATGCCCACATCAGTTTCAAGCTTCCGGGTCCCAGGACCTGAGATCTCCAGCCACCCCAGTCTACTGTAGTTGTTTGTGTCTTGAAGTGGGGCAATTTCATATGTTTGATCTATAGGATATTATGATATGATGGTACACCACTGGATTTGGGCCCCATTCTTAAACAGCCCCCGGAAAATCCAACTTCGGTCCTGGGGTATAGCAGGGTGAAACAACCCCAGAAAATCTCATGAAGTGCAAATCAGGTCATTTCATTCAATGCATGCTTGATTCGATTGATTTGGTGGACGTGAAGATGCTGCTTTGGAGCATTCCCTTCCGTCAGCAACCATGTTGCAATTTAATGTCCTGCAGTCCATAGATGTTTTTTTCCTCCAAGAGGGAATAATCAGTTGGGAGTGTAAACGGAGCCCCCTTGGTTTGCACCCAATCTAAGATAATTTGCCCAGTTGAACCATTGTTCTCCAGTCCTTTGATCCATTGCCATGTGGTCTTCCAGTGCCCAAGGGTACCGGATACTTTTGTGCATCAGGAAGCTGGAAGCTCTTGCTGAAGAGGCGACAGCTGTTGGCTAGGCATTGTGACAAAGAATGCACACATGATGATGGACAATGAACATCACTTTTTTTAGCATTTTCGCATTGGTGGCATTGTTTGCAGCAGTTTTGTTAAACTTGCGCATATACTTGCATATCTATGAATCTATGAATTCTGCATGGAGAGTACACAGCCAGTTTCAGACTCAGTTTCAACATTGGTTCAGTATTTGTTTCACACTTGTTGAAGCCATCAAAGCGACATCCTGTCTCACCTTCAGTCACCTGTTCAATCTTTTGGTGCGTCAAGCTGTACGCTGTCGTACCGACAACGGAAAAATGGTTCCTTGAAAATGGGCAGAACGTACTGGTCAGCTCATCACCAGAAGAGTTAAAGGGTGGATTCCAGGGTAGTACTCCAACGATGTGGGTCGAGTGCATGTAGTGACTTGGGCACATCATGCTAGTCTGCTTTGGGCTGGAAATGTTTGGGGGCCAAACATGTTCATGAGCACATACAATGATTGGGCCCCATCAGATGTTGGGACAAAAAGGCAGTTGTGATTGACAGTTTGATGCGTTTGCCAAATCATTCCAGTAAGAACGGCCACTAAAACATGCAAAGACACACATACACACATCGTTGCATAACTGGTCATATAATATGTATTAATGTGTATATACATTTTAAAAAAAAAACATTTATACATATACCAGTGGAGAAAAAATATGTATGCAGCTGTGTGTGTGTGTCGGAATGGCGATGGATGGAGGGAGAGAGAGAGAGAGAGAGAGGTGTATGTGTGTGTGTTTGCATGTGTTCCACTGTTCCACTATTTGTCAGTCTAGTCTCATCTTATCTCATCCAATCAAATCCAATCCTATCTAGTTTCATCTAATCTGATCAAATCCAACCTGTCTAATCCTATCTATTCATCGATCAGTCTATCGATCGATCGTGTCGATCAGTCTATCGATTGATCATGATCCATCGATCGATCGATCCTATTGATCCTTTTGCTCCTTTTGATTCAATCTATACTACCTGCCCTATTTGTCGTATCTATATCACTATCTATTGCATATGTTATTTTAAAGTACATCAATATTCAATATATCTGATCTTTATCGTATCGATCGTATACAATTTTTATCTATCGACATGCATTCTTGCAAGAAAGGTGGCTTTGCTGTTGGCCTGGTTTAGCGGCTACAGACATGGTTGCTACAGACATAGTTGCAACAGACATGGTTGTCACGTCATGGCAGCAGAATGACACTGGTTTTATATGGTTTTTGTTTAGCTTTGACCCCATCATATTAACATGAATATCCCGAATGTTTTGGACCCGAACTTCATGAGCACATATGAAGAGATACTGTAATAGGTCCAATATGGTCCAATTATGATATGATCCAATTCCCTGTGGGGAACATGTAATGCAACATGAACAGGCGTTCAGTGTCTCAAAGATCGATGACTTGAAAGATGGCAACATCTCATCATCATCACCATCACAATCATCACTGATCATCACCATCATCTTCTTCTCATCACTTCAGATTTCAGAGCCACTGACTCACTGACTTGTTCGAACCTCAAGCAGTTAACGGCCGCGGCCCATGGGACGCCAATGGCTGCCGCGACCTGGACCTGGATGGCCTGGATGGCGGCCTGGCTCCTTCTCGCCTGTGTGGCTTCGAAAATCGATGAAGGGCCGGAGCTGGTGTCGAAGCAGCTGGTGGGGGCCCAAGATGCTGAAAAGTGGTAGATTTTTTGTTGGAGGATTAAAACATGTTAAAACCCATTTGTAGATAGAAACTTGGTGAGTAAAACCTTACAAATGGATAGACATGCATGTAGAATGTTATTTGATGCGATATAGTCCACTTACCAGCCATTTGCATCCTAACTTTCAGGATCGTTCCATCAGATGCAAGCTTGTGGAGGATCAGTCCGATGGCTAGAGAGTGGGTAAAGGTGTAGGGTAAAGGTGTAATATACAGACATGATATGGGGATAGTAAGTATTTACAGCAAACTGATTTGAACCAGTTTGAACCCCATTATAAAGACTATAATGATTATTCACTCTTGGGTTAGCCGAAGTTTGAGGACGTTATCAACCGCTTTATCAGTTCAATCGGACGATCCTACAAGAGGGAGTGGATGAATTGGGGGAGAGAATCAGAAATGGCGAGGGCCATGTGTAGAGGGGAAGTTTTTTCAAGAATTGATTTGCAAATAACAAGATCTATATAGCGTTAGCTAGCTGAGTTGCTCTTGCTTTAGCAAGATGGCAGGGGCTGGAATCTCCCCACCCCGAAACTTTAGCCTAACATGATATTTGCACCAGGTACATTCTTTCCTCGCCAAAACCTCCTACGCATCCATGCTTGGTACTTCAACAAAGCTTCCCTCCCCCCAGCACAACACCTGCTTTCCTGTCCAACCACACGGCTCCAGGCAAAATCCAACGAAACGCAACAGGATGATAAGGATGTGCATTAAATATTATTTTACCGATTTTGCCTCCCCTCACACATAAACATTGGCCCCTGTTTCCACCTCCCCTGCTAGCTTTTGTCACCTCTAGCCTCAAGTTTTGGTAGGTGGGATCGTGAACTGCGTCCTGTCACAAAAATGCTTGTTTGGAAACGATCAATCAATGCCAATGCCAATATTTTGTGGGCAGAAAGGGCTCAAAGGGCACATGATACAGTATTGGATAGTAAAATGATATACGGATAAGGCGCAATGTAATTGTGCTTTTTGCAAGGCTTTCACTTCAAACAGTCTATAACTATATAACAGGTTCTGGTGTTACAAGTAGTGTTGCAAACCAATGGCAAGCACTATCAAGCTTCAACCTGAGGCAGAGGGCAGAGTGATGATGTCCATCGCTCCTGTAGTTGTAGTGGCAAGTGGTTCATGTGGTTGCGGGCACCTGCCTGGCGAAGCCATTGGGGTCACTAAGGTGGAAGAAGCCGCCTTAGAGGCAACGTTCTTCGATTTCAAGGCCAGTTTTGTGCAGGCTGTCCACTTCGGATTCCCACAAGCCAACCCCATTCTTGACGGTTTCAGCAATCATATCATTGGTGCAAAACATGCGGAAGCTACTGTAGTCTTTTGTTGAAAATCAGCCTGGGGGAATACTTAAAGTGGAGAGTTGGCTTTTGGGCCTACTAGCACAGATAAAACCAATTGAGTTAATATAAATTCTTTACAAGTACTGGGTTGACTGTGATTGACCATAGCGGTCTCAAACAGCAACTGACTTGTTTGAGTTGACTGAATCCCTTAGAATGCTCCACCTGGACAGCGCGGAAAACTCCATGGCGATCCATGGCGCTAAGCCAGGAGAAGTACGGCGTGGCTGACATGCGGACACTGGAAGTCTTCTTCAAACTTTTTGACTTATGGATCATGCTCTATCGCTCCTTGGATCTCCTTGGATTTGCGATTGCTTGGAAGATCCAATGATGAGCCCCCTGCAGCCTTAGAATAGAAATGGGGTAACCATCCATGCGGGGAACTTGGAGTGGGATTGCAAACCCATTTGCAAGCAGGAGTTTATGGTCAATTGTCACCTTGCGGCAAGGTTCATGACTTGTGGAATCCATGCAAAGAGTTTTCATACCAGAACCATTCCCTGCAGGCTAAACCTATATTTGGTTGGATGCAATGTAACCTTTCTGCACACACACACACACACTTGCTCAGAACTGTCGTTACGAATTCGGTTTGTGGACTTAAAATAAACAATATAAACCGACAGCAATAAAAAATATGTCCCCCCAGCTGCGACTTATATGCGCCCAGGGGTGGTACTATACATATATATATATATATATATATGTATGTATGTATGTATGTATGTATGCAATGTATGTAATGTATGTAATGATGTATGTATGTAATGATGTATGTATGTATGTCTGTCTGTCTGTATGTATGTATGTATGTATGCATGCATGTATGCATGTATGTATGTATGTATGTATGTATGTATGTATGTATGTATGTATGTATGTATGTATGTATGTATGTATGTATGTATGTATGTATGTATAAAGCAGCGGGTACAGGAAACCGGCCACGTTTCCCTTCCCACTCATGTCCACAGCTTCATTGCGTGTGGTAGGACATGAGTGCCACACGCCCCTGCATCACAATGAAGTTTTACATCTATACAGATGGTACACATATATATATATGTGTGTGTGTGTATTCATCATGAATCCAAAAACGGCGATAGTGGGACTTCGTTACAGTTAACCATTCGTTTTTATCAAATTTTTGGGTACCAAAATATGTTCCGATCAACCCCTTTTGTGGGGGTTGCCAGGCGTTGAGAATCAATCTGCATGTTTGGCCCCTTCCCCAAGCCCAGGCCTCAACAAGATCGATGAGGCCTTGACCGAAGTTCTGCCAGCGTGCCGCTGGCGGCAAGACGACTTTACGATCAAGGCGAAACAGGTGCCTCCAGCCACAAGGCTGAAGGATCATGAAGGACCATTTGATTTACCCTCTGGTTATTTTAACATGGCTACTGAAAATCATCATTTTTTATAGGTAAATTTATGTTCACCTCTCCCGCTAGTTCTAATGTTTTTTAAACTTGAAAAACAAAAAAAGAAAACACATGGAAAATCAAAAAGCAAAACTTCAAAACCGAAAAAAAACAGGAAGCAAAATAATTGGGGAAAAAATGGAAAGGCAAAAAGGGGAAAAAAAAAAAAAGAAAAAATTGGACTTGTCCATTTGCATTTTTGTTGCTTTTTTTTGCTTTTTCGATTTGTTTTTTGTGCTTTTGTTTTGCTTTTATTTTGTTTTTTTTGCTTTTTGCCTGGAAAAAAACAAAATAAAAAGCAAACAAAAAGCAAATCAAGAAAACAAACAAAAAAGCAAAAAAAATGCAAATGGACAAGTCCATTTTTTTCATTTTTTCCCCTTTTCGTCTTTCCTTTTTCCCCCTTTTTTCCCTTTTATTTTGCTTTTGTGTTTTTTTGGATTTTGCTGATTTGCTTTTTGGTTTTTCCATTTTTTTTGGATTTTTTGCGTTTTTTTCAAGTTTTAAAAAAATACGAATTAGCGGTGGTTTGGTGAACTTAAAGGTAAATCAACTATAAATGGCAATGTTCAATGGCTATGTTAAATTACCAGGGTAGCAGTGCATAACCACCGTGGTGAATAAGTCTCCTGAGTGGATTATCTACACTTGATACCTGGGATCTATTTTCCGGACAAAGGATTCTCCAAGTATACCTGGGCGTTGTTTGCCTGACGGCGCTTCAAGCCCTTCAAGCAGGGTACCTGGGTATCAGTTGATGTGTTTTTTAATTGTGCTATATGGCAGGTTCCTAAGGATCATTAAGGGTCACTGGCAGTTGATTGGATTGAAATGGGGCTTCTTTGGATGATAAAGTGGGAAACTCGATATTTTGCTGTGCTGCGGTAAACCTCTCAAATCACAAAAGGACCCCGAATATCATATAAAGTACAGTCATAAGCTGTACTCACTGTACTCCATGTTCAAATGCTGAAATTCGTGGAAATTCCATTTTTTTCTGTTGCCACTGAGTTGCCACTTGGGCATGGTCGGAATGGTTCTGTTGACCTCGGTGGAGCAGCCGCAGGCCCTGGCGTTCACGCGCTGGAAGCAGGGTCGGCATCGAGAAGCCTTGGCCCATTTCCATGACATGGACGCGCTGACCCCGCTACATCCCCCGGTTTTTGGCATAAGTTTCATGGACAAATGTAGGAAAATATCATGCAACCCCATGAGAATCCAATTTTTTGTTCTTCGGGGGGTTGCTATTTTCGGACACACCCACATTCACATGTAATACACATGTATATAAATCTATTCCAATTTCCCACTGTAATGGTATATTTGAGGACATGTACGTGTAGTGGTATACTGTACATGTATACATATATATATATATATGCATACATATATACACATGCATGTTTACATAATTACACACTCACATGCATCCGTGTCCATCCTGTACGTACATGCATGCATCCATGATAATCCCCTGGACTATCCAGGACTTATGTTTCTTGAAAAGTAGATGTGTCTGGAAATAAAATCGGAAGTTTTGTGACTCAACAATTCAGTTGTTCTCCATATATATCTATATGTGTATATATATATATACATATTGCGTTACTATATATTAACATGTGTCACTTATGCATGCTATCGGCCAACCAGTGCCGTACCGCACTTGCAATAGTACTTCCGCCCACCTTCAAGATAAACAGTGCTGCCATGGGGCATGGGCCCTTGATTTGTAATCAACTCCACGATGATTGCAACACCAACTGGTGAGTGGACGTGTATGTGTATAATAGTCAAAGTCCCGTTTGCACTCTTGGAACTGCTGGACAGGAAGGGTCGCTTGGGAAGACGTCTGCTCTATGTGAAAACATTGGCCACACTTACAATGCGAAACTTGGACTAACATTTTGTTCTTGACCGGTTGCCCCGATCGTTCTTCCTAGGCCCTAATATCGTTATTTAAATTGAACATACATGCGTTTGCATTTGATTATGTTCATGCGTGCATGTGCATGTAGTTATGAAGAGATATGCTAAGATAAATAAAGAGATTCAGGTAGAGACATGCATAAATATAAAGATACAACTTGTGCCCTTCAAAATCATCGCTGTGCGCAATGTTTCGGCTACTTTTAATTATAGATGAAACAGGCTGTGCCATGGTGATTCTTCTTCCCTGATGTGACTTTCCACTACCTGATGTGACTTGGGCCCGGCGCTCGTATATTGTATGCGTGTGTGGCACCACTTTAGCTTTAGCTGAATCCCCAGGATGGCGACGGTGATAGGCTCTCACCACTTGCAACATATTTCTTGTAAAAGAAGCCGTAGCTGGGGATGGAAGCAGCTTGTAGGCTCATCCAGACGTTGAAATCACCATTAAATCACCATTAAGCAACCGTGAACGGCCTCAACAGGGTCACCCTCTAGGGTCACCAGGCTTGGAATGCCCAAAGAGGCAGAGCATTACTTCAATCAGAGTCTCGCCTTAGTCACTGTCAAACTCAACAACGAATCCTTGGACAATTTAGGCGGGCCAAGACCCTGGGGACGGGAGCCATCGGCCCATCGGGACCCACAAAAATACGGCCCATCATTTGGGAACCTGGATTGAAATATTGTGATGGACCGGACTTGTTTGTACCAAATTGGTAGGAACTGATCAGAAATTCAACCGAGCGCGAGTAGGTCTCCTCTAAGGCTTGGTGAAGCTTGGATAGTTGTTGCTGTCCCCCTTGAACACAAGCGTACGCATGTATATGTGTAAGACGCATGTGTATTTGTAATAGATTGTAATAGTATCATTATGTATATGTTGTATATTATGCACATTGCAACGTATCCAAGATCAGCAGAGACCAGAAGTGTGTCTGGAATGTTTTTTTTTTAACCACTTCAGGTACCTAGCGCCACTGCATTATACTGCAATCACCACTGACCATTTTCAAGTTGCATACTACTACCATTTTATATGTTCCAACTGGTTTTCCTGTTCAAACGATCCGCATCTATATAGTTTTCATTCATTATAAATTTACACTAGTGCGTACTGATATATACGGATATGTATTAAATATATTACCACCCATGTGGAATTGTTTTTTTCCGATATCGGATGGGTAGGTAAATAATCAATAGATAGGTAGATGGAAGGGTAGATAGGTCCATCAGATAGGTAAATAAATAGATCTATAGGTAGCTGGATAGATGCATGCATGCATACATACATACATATATATATACATATATGTATGTATGTAATGTAATGTAATGTAGTGTAGTGTAGTGTAGTGTAATGTAATGTATGTATGTATGTATGTGTGTATGTATGTGTGTATTGTACATATATGTATTATACATACATGTATAAATATATATATATATACATATATGTGTATTAAACATACATATATATATATATATATTAATATATATATATTTTATATATATATATATTATATATACGTATGCATTATATAGTATTATATATATACACATTGTTTATATGCCCAAAACCACCATTATATTTATAGTGTCTGAAAGGCTTTCGCGATGTCACAGGTGGATCAATGCTGGGCTTCGCTGGTATCTATGAAAAACGAGAGCAGTGGCCTGAAGCGCGGCGGGCGGCGCTGGACGTGCCCTGCAGCGGTTCGGTCATTGTTTCCTAGGTTAATGAAATGAACATGATGAAGATGATTTTCATGAAGTGAACATAGTTTCAACAAAAGTTGTGGGTTGCGACACGCAGTTTGGTGCTGGTAATGGGTGTATTCGAATGAATATATTTGATGTAATTTGATGTTCTTTCATTTGGTTAGAGCGCAAGAATCTCACCGCGGCACTCGAAAATCGAAATCTGGCATGATGTTCTTCGTCTCCTTCCGGCCTCGCCACTGTAAACGATGCTAGCGAGGTTTTCCCACGAGCAGGCTGGTGAATTTCTGTATTTGTTCAGATTATTTTTTATTAGTTGCTATAAAAGTACTTGACCCAAAATTGTCATAACACTGGCTGTCACCAGGTTTGAAGTTTGAAGTTTCTAGCGAGACACCATTCTTGGAACCACAATATAGAGCATGTTGGTTGGAGGAATGTCTTTGGAGAGTTTGCTTAGCTGGAAAGAAATTATGTAACTGACAAGTGTTGTTTTTGCTTGTTTTTAGTAGCATTATTTATTGGAAGCCAATGTAGTACTTGTAATTATGTGTAGATTGTTTGTTTTTCACCAGGAGGGTCTTGCACTCACAGCAATTTCTCGTTTCCAAGCCAAAGTTTTTGCCCTTAGGAAGCAATCCCAGTCATAATTCCTATGACTGGCCACGGGCACCTTCCCAGGACATTTGGGATGCAATGCATGTCAACCCTGGATAAATAAGGTGGATCAACCCCGAGGTTCCTTTTCTGATATCTTTCTTTTCCTTATGGTTTACACCCTCAGAGGCCCTTGTACGCTTTTGGTAAATCTCAGCGTTGGGCCGTTTGGATACCTTTACACATTACGTAATATATATATATATAAAAAGCAATCTTAATATTCCAGAATAGATTAGAATAGTATATAATCACCCGAATGATAGATTATGTTAAATCATGGATTTTCTGCGTTGGTTCCGTTCCCCGGACACCTGTGACCGCCTGCGCTCATCTGGCCTTGGGGCCATAACCTGAATCAAGGCGTATAATTTCTACACCGCTCGGGACTTGGATCGGGGCTGGGCATCATCACTGACGGCCAAAGCCGCAATGGCCCTGAGACGCTTGGCGCCGGGATTCGGGTGAAAAGGGGGGACACAAATTGGGGCTTATATTATATATATATATATGTGTGTGTAGTTACATATATATATATACACATATTCTGATCATATATGTATATACTTGTATGTAAAACAACCCAATATGGATTTGTATGATTCATGATGCGCGATATATTTACAAATTGTACATGTACACCACGCACCCGCAGCGTTATGATTTGTTGGGGATTTGTTGGATAGTTTGATATGGGTATATAAGCTAGATGTATTTGTATGTATTTGTCCCAATGGCTGATTACTGTAGTATAGGGCTCTCACAAATTTCACTAACGGACGGATGTCAGATGCTTGAGCGACCCCACCACCCAATTCCATAACTTTTGTTGAACTCTAGTTTGGCAATGGTTTGGCAACCATCGATGTCCCAATGTGTATACGTGTAACCTTTAGCTCTACCAATCTCAAGCTGCTCTCTTTGGACAATGGCTGGAAAAAAAAGTCTTTGTACAAGAACAAATGTGTGAGTCAATCCGCATGGACCGGAAAGCTTTCTTTGTTATTTCCAGCCAGTCAGCCAGTACAGAGATAGCAGTTTTTGTCAAAGATTGACTTATTCAATTATATTTGAAGCCTTGAGACAAGAATGGATTGAGTTCTTTACTTGCTGGATGGTGCCAGAATCCATTGTGCCCAACATTTGAATTGGGCATAATATTCCAGAGGCAAATTTAAGGGGAAACTACACACCCAAGACCAAAGGTACCCAAGAGTGCTTTAAAAACTTTAAAAAATGCAGCAGTTCCAACGTTATTTGCATTCGGGCAGTTGCTTTCCAAGCATTGGACAAGTATTGCTTCACAAACCTACTAGCAGATTGGGCCCGCCACTAACGATAGAACGCGCTTCTTGGATCTTCTCCACTGAAGATTTTATGGAGATATGATATCACCATTTAATTCCTTCCCTCTATTACTAAACCGTCCCACCAAATAATAAAAACTTGGAGGAATTTTTAGTTTTGCGGGGTATTTAGTATTAGGGTGCGAAGCTTTCCCCTAATTTTAATTAACTTAATATAAAACACAAGAATGTTCTATTTCAAAGTAGATTGAACTTCATGTTAAAAGCCAATGAAAACATGGTCAAGAATTGGATTTCCAAGCTTTCCCCTAATATTAAGTTGAAAACCGTCATTTAGAAAACTACAAGTTTCTATTTCAATTTGATCAAATTTCATTTTAAAATCAAATTAAGATCTTGCCACAAATTGGATTTCGAAGCATTCCCCCTAATATGAAACTAAAAACCTTAATGTATAAAACAAACATGTTTCTATTCCAAAATAGATTGAATTTCATTTAAAATCTAATTAAAATATTGCCAAAAATTGGATTTCGAAGCTTTCCCATAATATTAGATTAAAAGCTTGAATATCAAAAACTAAAACTGTGTATCTAATTAAAACATCGTCAAACATTGGATTTCGAAGCTTCCCCCTGGTACTCGTATTAAATTCAAGACCTCAATCGAAAAAAACAACATTTTCCATTTCAAAATCGGTTAAATTTCCTTGTAAAGCTTAATTACCATGTTACCAAACATTTGATTTCGAAGCTTTCCTTCCCCTACTATCAAATTAAACACCTCAATACAAAAAAACTGTTTTTTTTCGATCTTAAGATCTTAAAAGACGGTCCCTAATAAAAATCACCTCGGGTTGACTGATGTGTCATTAGGGGGTGAAATTCCACAAATGGGCCCTTCATTTTCAAATTGTTGTTTAAGGTGAATCAATGAAAAAACAAACTGGCCTCTGAAATTTCCCAAAAAATTAACACGGACCCTAGTTTTTAGTATTTGAGGTACATTTGGTAAAAGAGGGAAGCGATTATCCACGTGTTTCCCATCGGATCCCATGGGAACAGTTGTGTCAGTGGAATGCCTGAGGTAAAATCGACTTGAAACTTGGCAACTTGCAGGAAGCACTGAAAAAGACAGAGGCGCCACGGTGGGCTGGGAGCGCTGGGACCTACCAGGCCTACCGTCCTGCGGAAGGGGTTCTACCCCCATGGTGGTATCCTGATTTTGAACAACGGCATCCTTCTGTGCAAAGCCTACGGTGCCGATGCGCTACTCCTTTCATCGTCGTGTACGTATTTAGTGCATGAGGATTACCATGGATTTCCCCGTTTTGTAAGCAACCAAATACCAAGTAGTTGCGAAATATGGGAACCGGCAACCCATGAATTTGGTTGGTTCAACCCACATTTAGGTGGGTTGGCTACCAGGATCCTACACCCATTGTGTGCCCTACTTTGTGTTAGTTGTATCCTGCTGTACTCTGTTTTGCATGGCTTTGCTAAATTGTGGCACTTCTACTTCTACCCTCTCCAGACGTCCCAGAACTGGTTGAAGGGGAGGGATTACATGGAGGTAAGGACATGGTTTCACGTTTTTGTTCCATTCAACCAATCCATTCAACCCCCATTACAACCTTTGGTTTCTTATATTATAATTTCTTATCATAATATGCCGTATAGATATGTAGTTATGTAGTGATATGTACATATTATAGAGCAATATTGTCATATGTTGATATATATATATACATATATTTATTTATTTATTTATTTATTTTTATAATTTTACATATATATATATATACATATATTTATTTTTTATTGATTTATTTATTTATATGTATATATATATATTCCCTATTTGAAATGAGTAAACAAGCAACCTTCTTTTCATTTTATTTGGGTTTTGAAAATTGCATATCTTTTTACAATGTTTTTGTATTTTCGATATTTTCAGATATTTTCCATGTTTGGGTTTTGGAAAAAAAACACGAGTTTCCTGATCAAAAATCCCTAGGAGGCCGTATCGCTCTTCAAGTCCACCAGTGGCAGTGACTCTCCGTTGCTCTCGGGCGCCTACAAGCGTCTTGGAGAAATCTACACGCGCAAGGACCGACCTGCCGGCCACGAGATGTTTTTTTGTTGTGGAAATGGGTGAATATCATTGACATATTTTTAACCGGTGTTATTTATATATATATATACATATCCACATTTCAATAGTGAATAGGTAGGGTGTAAGGTGATGAATAATTATTGGGCATTTCCCGAGTGGCCGTCACTGGTTGATGATACCATAGATGATGATTTTTGTTGCGGGAATCAGATCAAAATGACCAAACGTGGTTCAGTTTGGTGAAGTGATTGGGTGTTACAAACTAAATCAAACTAATCAAACTTAATCCAATAGAATTCGGTAAATTTTCATACATGGATGTGTCATTGCCGCCAAGAGGACCCCCCAGTTATATTTGTTACATCACAATGAACCCGACTATCAATCTCCGTAAACCAGTAGAAAGCATGGCCAAAACCATGAATCCAACATGTAGCTTTTTTGCCACCACCTGAAAGCCATCATTGAGGAGATGTGGGTCGAGGCTCGGGACTTCTTCCACAAAGCTTATAAGCTGGAGGCTGGGCAGATCCTGAATTTCAGCAGAACCTGACAATGTTTTGACTTGGCGACCTACGTCAAGGGTTTGGTATAGAGAGATTTGAGAGAGAGAGAGATATATATATATATATTACGTATAAGTATATATATAAGTATTTGTTTATTTAGATGCTGATGCAATACAACCATATATCCATATATATGCATATATCAATATATAAATGCTTGGAAGGCGCTTGAAAACCAGGAAGTTCCAGAGCCTTTTCTTCAGGATGCAAGAAGTGGCTAGACATTTGAAGGTTACCTGATGGGTGACTTCCATTAAGATTATTTTCCCTACTTGATCTTCTTTTGGATGGAAATGACCTACTATATGTATATGTGTAACTATATATGTATATATATTTATATGCGTGTAGTGTGTATGCTGGCTAAATGTGGTCCAAGCTCTTGCTCAGATCCACCAAATTGATCCTAGCCACAGTTGACTTATGGGCCCTAAGAAAGTCAAGATGCCACGTATAAACATATATACCCTCTGGCAATCTAACATAACAATGGAAAATCACCATTTATAATGGGTAAACCAACTATAAATCACCTATTTTTAACATTGTTAAATGACCAGAGGGGAAATTATTTGTATAGCATTGGACATTTGGCCATGGTCGAAAGTATGATTGTAAAATATTGTAAACCCATCTTGGGGGATCCATCATGACAGTACAAGGATTCCTATTACGGGATGGATAGTTATAAAATGTTATAAACTGTTCATTTTTAAACCACATTATCTCATATGAATCCCATGTAACTTGACTCTGCACATAGTTCTGTGGCAAACCAAACAGCGTTCCGAACAGGGCCGTCTCGCCGGCCATGGCGAGCTGGGAGGGAAACTCCAGTCGTCAAAAGCTGACATAACTGATCACATTTTGGCAATTATCAAAGTTATTAGTTATAATATATATATATCATTCATATATATATATAATGTCCACCTCTGATTTATAAATAGGGCCCCCCCCTCCCTCTCTGACCCTAAATAGACTTAAAGCCACCATCAAACTTGTTTGTATGTAAAGGTTTTCAATTACCACAATTGAAAACGAATACATAAAATGCAATTTCAAAAAAAAAGGAATCCAACAACTGTTTTAGTATTGATCTAGTACTCATGTCATGGATTTAGTATTGATCTAGTACTCATGTCATGGATTTAGTATTGATTTAGTATTCATGTCATGGATTTAGTATTCATTTAGTATTCATGTCATGGATTTAGTATTGATTTAGTATTCATGTCATGGATTTAGTATTGATTTAGTATTCATGTCATGGATTTAGTATTGATCTAGTACTCATGTCATGCATTTACTATTAATCTCGTATTCATGTCATGAATTTAGTATTGATCTCGTATACATTTCATGAATTCAGTATTGATTTAGTATTCATGTCATGGATCTGGGCAAATCTGGGTTTAGGGCCAAAAAAAATTAGCTTTATTCAGGGTCAAACTCTAATTAGTGCTAAGGCACCTCATGGGGGGTACCCTTGATGAGTTGATTTGGGATTGATTTAAAATAGGTTTATATAAAGGATTTGAATAGAAAGAGCATCCATTATGTTTGAAATTTTGAAGCTATCAAGGTAAGATCTAATGAGCTGGCAGTATGAATTAGTACATGAAAGCCACCTCAAATAAAGCATGGAAAAAACAAAATCAGCCCCATCTGGGCAAATCTGGGTTTAGGGCCAAAAAAAAATAGCTTTATTCAGGGTCAAACTCTAATTGGTGCTAAGGCACCTCATGGGGGGTACCCTTGATGAGTTGATTTGGAGTTGATTTTGGATAAGTTTAAGTAAAGGTTTTGAATAGAAAGAGCATCCATCATTTTTGACAATTTCCAGCTATCATTTTTGAATAAAGGTTTTGGTCAGCCCCATCTGGTCAAATCTGGGTTTAGGGCCAAAAAAAATTAGCCCTATTCAGGGTAGTTTTTGTTATTTAGTTTGGGAGAAAATTTAGCACTATTCAGGGTAGTTTGATAAATCGTAGGTCAACATTATATATATATATCATACTATATCATACGATGATCATCTATGGCTATCTTATAACATGATTATTATCATGGTTATCATGAATTATCATCTATGGTCATATTATATCATACTATATCCCCATGATGTTCCCATTAAAAATCCTCCCATGGTTCCTCATCCCTTCTTCTTTCACCAACATCCTCTGCGAATGGCCAGGCCATCAAGGATGCCTTCGACCTAGTCGAGATTGCGACCAGTTGAACGTTTGGGTGGCGTGAAATATGTTGAAACTATGTAAATATATGTGCATAGATATGAATATGTGATTGGGAGGGTGGCTTGTACAAGCATCCAAAAATGCTGGTATAATGAGGATATAGTGGGGGTATACTGGGGATAATCTAGTTACTGTAAATATAACGATCTCACGTTGACTTGGGCTGGAATGCGTTTGCACTGATCTGCCCAACGCGAGCAATGTCTATAAAGTCTCCGACCAAGCTGTATCCACCAGCGAAAGCGATTTCAATGGTTTGATCATGTTTGACCTATCCCCAACTGGCTTTCTAAATTTGTAGGATTGTTTGATTTATCTCAAGATTCCCCCAGGTAAACATAGGATGTACTTCCCCACGGTCGAACCGATCGTGGCTCAAAATTCGCTTGGATGAGGTGGTCATCCATCAAGGCTTGATGGATGCCCACTTGGGCCGGGGTCCTTTGCAGCGTACGGTCTTCAAGACTTACTTTCGCACCGTCACAGAGGCGCTGATATCTCTCGTTTGGAGCTAGAAGGTTAGAGAGAGTGGCTGGCTGGTTTCTTTCTAAAAGATTGGATGCAGATTGATATTATTTCGGAGTATGCACAAACAATGGTTTCCTGTAGGGTTTCCATTGCATATTTTCCCTTAAACCCAACCATTGAGTCTATGTAGTGATCCCAAACATGGCCCAATTTTATCAATTTTTTACATAGTTTGGAACCACCAGGATTCAACCAGAGCTTTGGGCGCGGGATTCGTTACTGGATCCAAAACATTGCAGCATGTTGTTCATATCGTGCAGTGATGTGATGTGGCCTTTGCATCAAATCATCGAATGACACACGCTTGAACATGTACACGGGAGGTTTCTGATTCCGGAGATGTCTCAACATTGAGTATACTGTGGATGATTCACCCAAATTCATCCAAATTCATGATATTGAAATCTCCACTTCATTTCCTTCCATGGATGGATGGTAAACAACGGGAGCTGGTAGGGTTCCAAATCTTGAGCCGGTGTAGCAGAGCAGTCCAGGTGTTGAAGCGTGTGAAGTCCTTGAAACAAGACGGTTGCTTGGCAGCTGTGGCAGATGCCGATGATGGGAGCTGTTCGGATCATCGAATTTTAGTTCATCGAATCATCGAATTCCTGTTTCTGAGCTAGAAAAGCAGAGGAAATACGGGTGCCTACTACAAGTTGGCAGCCGAGATGTTTGTGCTTGGCGATGACTGCAAGGCCGGAATAAATCACATACCAGCTGAAATCTACTAAAATGGATCTGGGTTCAGCCCCTGGGTGCACTGACGAGCATCCCAAAATGAACCGGAGGGTTGTTCACCCCAAGTATCACATCCGAATGGGCATGCTGTTGAAATGGTATTATATCTTAATTATAGTGACATGCAGTCCAGCAGATGCTTACATGAACACCATGTCCATCATGTCTCGGAAGTATCACATAAATAAATCAAGAAAGAAAGAAAGAAAGAAAGAACTATATATAATTATATCATATACATATATATATATATATACGTATATATATATATACACACATACATAGTCATACATATGCACACATGTTCACACGATTTCGCGCAAATCATATATATATATATATGTCATGGGATATATCACAGACCATATGCAATTTATCATCATCATCATCATCATCATCATCTTCGTATATATATATATATATATAAAATTAGACTATATATAGTGTACATTATTATGAGATAATAGGTCGCTAGTAGCCATGGATATCTCGCCAGGCCGGCCTGCCGCTGCTGTCTATGGCCGTGTCGTTGCTGATGGCAGAGTCCTCCATCGACACGAAGCCAATGGTGAAATCCAGCCGTGATTTGATCAGTTTCTGAGCAGCAGGACAACCAGGACAACATGGGACAACTAAGGTGTAAAATGATGGCTATTACCATAGTATAGCTAGAAAATAGCCATATTTAAATATGGGATATCATGGGAATCATGGGGTCATGGACCATGTTATGGGATGTTGTGAGGATATGGGGAAAGAATGACATGCAAAATGTTGATTTGGGGGTTTGGGTGTTTCTGAAAATGGGGTGAGTAATGGTAATTATAGCACAACATATCGTCATTCAATGGAGAAAATAATGCTTAACTATGGGAACCGAATTTCGGACAAACTCAGATCCTACTTGGATGACTTTGGCTTTAAGAATCCAGACAGAGAGAGGGAGAGATAGTTTTTTTAATCAAATTCCATGTTAATGTTTGTAGCTTACCAGCCGAAGGGGATAACTTCAGCTGGGTTTACTTGGATGTGCAGAATGGAAGTCAACACACATCCCCCTGTTCGTATGCTCAGAACCATCAGATGGCCATGCGCCCCCATCTAGAGGGAACAAAGTAGCATCTACCTTTCCCATCTGAGTTTGGGCCGGAATCTCAAATCCTACAGTGATGTACCAAATCCATGTCACTATATATGTTGTAGCAACTCCCAAAAAGATCACAACCTCACCAAAATAGTGATAAATATGTGCACATGAATGTATGTAAATACGCATTCTATTTGTTTGCGGATGTCTTTGCTCGTTTTTTCATTTCTGGCTCTCAGATTTCCATTTGAAGCAATTGGTCATTTTTTTTGCAGAGCCCAGGCTACTGTAAAGGTGAGACCAAGCATTTGGAGGAACAATTTTTAAAAAACGAATTATAGCTTCGAGGAAAAAAATCAAATGATATTCAAAATATGAACATTCATTGATATCTTGCACTATATATGTCGTAAATTGTTATTTGCTACCAAGTGCAAGAGTCATTGCTGCTTTTTTGTTTTGGTTTTGTACTATGCTATTTTGGTTTGGGAAAAATGATGCGAAACCGGTGTCCCATGTAGTTCTGCAATTTGGAATATGCTCACATTGATTTGCTTCAAATGTTTCCGTACCTCTTGGAAACGTATCTTGGCAGGGTCACATCGATTTGTCTATTTAATTAAGCAGAGGTGATTCAATGGTGTTTTTGCCAAATTTTATATAGACTTAATTACCTGCCATACAATGATGTATGAGAAGAATAACTGATTTCACTGCTGCCGCTTTTGTTGCTGGAGTACTTGCTATGTGCTAATTTCTCCAAAAATTTTAGAATAGCCAAAATTAAACTATACTATATTTACTATTTTTGATTTTTATTTATTTATTTATTTATTTTAGAAAATGTTTGGGATAAATTGCATGTTTTTTTGAAATTCTAGGAAAATATTTATTATAAATTATTGATTATTCTCTTTTTTGCAAATATATAATTTGGATATATATGGTGATCGATCTAAAGGTTTTTGTAAGGAGTTTTAATTGCGAAAGCCGTGTATGTTATGTTGGAAACCCTCGCGAAAGTTTTTTCCGAGTTCGCGAAAGTAAAATTTTATTTCGCGAAAATTTCGCGAAAATTGGGTATTATAATTATTATATGTAAAGGGCTGCTACGCACTGCTGCCCGGGGTCCGGCAGGAGAAGGACACCAGAAAATGCGAGTAGTAGTAACCAAGTTTCCAAAAGTGATGCTTTGCGAGAGCCAAGACCCCTGGTCTTCGCTTTTCCTTCAGTGCACCCCCTGCTGATGGCCGGGGTCTGTGAATAGGGATATTTTCGCGAAAGTTCCGCGAAAGTTATGCGAAAGAGCGGACGAAAGTCAAAGTGCATGTTGAAGGGGGTGTGCCAATACATTTTGCAAAAAAAATTGGCCTGGGATTCCTTGAAGAAGTGATTCGTGATTCTCTGGCGTAATTCGGTAGGTGGTGAGCGAATTTTCATTGTTGTTGGCTAACATGGGCCCCGTGAAAGATAAACATGGAATTCGCGAAAATATTTTGTTTATTCGCGAAAAATGGCCGTTCCGGGATAAAGGAATTTTGATTAAGTATATGTAGTCGAACATGATGTTTTCGACCGGTTTTATGGCGACAAAAGTGTAAAGTACCGTGCTTTGAAGGAAACCATTGCAAAAACATGGAAACACATTCAAAGAACACGGGATTTGGGAGACTATCTAGGCGTCGTTGTCTAGCTATTTGAAATTCCGCAGCTTGGAGAGCCTCCAAGGAAGGGAAAAGTGAAAATTCCATAGCTTGGGAAGCTGTCACGGCGGGGAAAAGTGAAAATTCCCTAGCTTGGGAAGCCCCCACGGGGGGGAAAAGTGAAAATTCCCTAGCTTGACTGTATATGTAAATGTATGCATATCTTCGTATATGTATGTGTATGTATGCAAATCTTTGTATATGTATGTATATGTATGTATGTGTATGTATGCGTATGTATTTGTATGTATTTGTATGTAATATGTATTGAAATGTATGTCCATGCATGTAATATGTATATAAAAGTGATACCTAAATTGGACGTTCCTAAATTTGTGGATGTTTTTTCCGTGAACCTAGGGGGGTTCGAGATTTAAGGATTAAAAGATGGTATATAGAAATATTGTATTCGGCCGCCGTTATTTTTAAAAACATATGATTGTGGGAAAAAACGTTAGCTATTTCCGGACTTTGAAGAGTATGGTAGGAAGCATCCAAAATGGCTAGAGGAGAGCGAAGGAAAAAGGGGGAAAAGGATTGAGGGAGGGAAGGAGAAATAAATTATTTTATTTCGTTTGATCTCCACCATAACATTTATACATTTTATTATTGACAAATCTTCTGGCATTCTATCTGACATATTTTCTGACATTCGATCTGATATTTTATTTGGCATATCTTCTGGCATTCTACCTGGCATATCTTCTGGCAGATGTTTTGATATATTTTCTGGTAGATATTCTGACATATCTTCTGGTATATCTTTTGGCATATCTTCTGGCATATTTTTTGGCATTCTATTTGGCATATTTTCTGGCATATTATTTGGCAAATCTTCGTATTTTATTTAGCATATTTTTTGGCATATTATCTGACAAAGCTACTGGCATTCTATCTGGCAAACATTCTGGCATTTTATCTGGCATATCTTCTGGCATTTTAGCTGATATTTTATTTGGCATTCTATCTGGCATACCTTCTGACATTTTATCTGGCATATCTTCTAATATTCTATTTGACATATCTTCTGGCACTCTATGTGGCATATTTTTTGGTGTGGATACTCGCGGTTGAGGTCCGGCAGGGAACACTGGGCGTGGATGGTCGTGGTTGAGGTCCGGTAGGGAACACTGGGCGTGGATGGTCATGGTTGAGGTCCGGCAGGGAACACTGGGCGCGGATGGTCGTGGTTGACCTCCGGCAGGGAACACTGGCAGGGAATACTGGGCGTGGATGGTCGTGGTTGAGGTCCGGCAGGGAACACTGGGCGTGGATGGTGGTGGTTGAGGTCCGACAGCGAACACTGTGGATCGCGAGTCGCAGTTGAGCAGGA